CGGTGGCTGCGTGGCGTCGTAATTTGCCTGATCTGAATAATAACGATTCATCAGAAATTCTGCGGGGTTGAGCGCGTGAATATTTAATTGCCTGCTGAATGAAATTTAATTTTTGCACTAAAAAGGCGTTTATAATTATTTAAATAACGCAAAATCATTAAGTTCATTAACAAGTCTAATTTTTAGGGAGTTCAAGGGACGCGACAGGTGCGCGAGTCGTTAAAGTAAAAAAAAAAAACTACATTGCCAGAGCTTGATGGGTGGGAACGAGCGGATGTTTCGGTTAAGGGCAAGATGATGTTACATAAAACTTTTGAATTTATTCAAGAAGTCCTAGGGTGAGCTCCACTTTGTAGCCTGGTAAGTATCTTGGGTGGAGCTTAACGGTGAGCTCCGGGTGTGAAGTTGGAGGCAATGAAAGATTACCTTTCCATTATTACGAAGAGAAATTATTTGAGCGCTACAATATTGTCACTATCTTATCCACCCAGATGTCTTTACCTACTTGCATTCTTCAATTGCCACTATGGAAGCTCATAAATTCGAAGTCGTAGATAATTTCATCTACCTTGAAACCAGTATAAATGCGAACAACTTGTGGTACTTTGAACTGGAACCTCAAACTCCCTATGTACCGCTTTAAAAGTCGCTCATCATACCAGTCCTACTATATGGTACAGAAGCGTGGACGATGTCAACAACTGAAAAGCCGGCCCTAGGAGTTTTCAAGAGAAAAGTTTTGCGAACGATTTATGGTTCTTGAGCACTGGCAACGACGACTACCGTAGACGATGGAACGACAAGTTTTACGAGCTATACAATGATATTCGTTGGCTAGGTCATGACGTCCAAATGGATGATAGTACTCCAGCTTTGAAACTATTTGATCTGAGCTCGCTGATGGAAACAGTGAAACAGGAAGACCTCCACTCAGTTGTTGAAAGGATCAAGCGGAGCGTTACCTGGTTTCACTTGGTATTTCCAACTGGCGCCAAACAGCGAAAATAAAGGACGAGTGGGCGCTAATATTGATTCTTCTATAATCGCGTAAGCGGTTCCAACGCTAACAAAGAAGAAAGAATAATAAATATTACAAAAAATGCCGTTTCCGTCATTATACAATCCATCGTAACTCCTGAACATGTCTTGATCTAGCTCTGGAGTTTTTCGCGTCGCTTCTTATTTGTAACTTCTTTTTCTTCTCCTTTACTAGCGTAGATAACGCTTACGCGATTATAGTCGGGTTCACAACATTGCGCAACTCCTACATTCTTTCCTCTGTGCGGCGCCAATTGGAAACACCAAGCTCAACCAGGACTTTCTCTAACCGACTTTTTCAACGGATTGGTCATGCTCTTCCTCTCCTTCTACTGGCGGTTACTGCGTATAACAACTCATCGATCTGGAATCCTGAGATATAAGGCCTTAGAGTCTTTCAGTCATAAAACACCTCTCTGAGGAGAAGTTCCCTGTTATTCGCCTTTGAAGACTTGGCTCACCCAGCCACACTTAAGGATGGTGAAGGTGCCTAAAGTAAACAAATTCCTCAGTGTTCCGGTTGCTGATTCATGGATGGTTCCACTCTTTGTACCAAAAACTTCACGACTTTTATTAGAAAATGAGAAAAAGCTCCTCGAAGTACAGCTTTTCAAGAAAGAGTAGCTAAATTCAGAGCACATCCGGTACAGCTTAAAAAAGGCTGAGGCAAAATTTATGTAACTCAGCGGAGAGAATGTGGCAAAAAAAACCTATTATATTTAACAAAAAAAATGTGTTATGGCAACCCTAAAAATCCAATTTTACATATACTAATAAGCTTTCGTAAATTTCTCGAAGCTCTTGCACGCTCAAACAAAAGGGAGAAAAATATCATTGAGCTTCTCTCAAGAACAAACCGCGAGCGTGGCCAAGCGTTAGTCTTACATAAAAGCAACTATTGCAAAATGAAAATACAACACACACAACAACAAAAAACCGCGAGAATAAAAACTGCATTGCGCGCAACTTTTTGCCCATTGAGTAGCGCGCGGCAGCCAATTCTCTTTTCATCACGTCAATTTTTTGTTTGGCTAGTGGCCTTTCGCTTTTCACTAGAGCGTTTGCCCACTAATTGCCGCCGCCTACTCACCTACCTACCTACCAGCACCCACTTTCCCACCAAACGTCCTTCAATGCGCATTTTCGCACCACTAACCAGGTCGCGCTGGGCTTATCTATAGCAACGGCGACAATACACAACCATTCTTACATATAAACACCCGTTTGTGTGTCTGCTCGCGGCGAATATCTACGAAATGCAAAATGCATAATGTGTCAGACCGAAATGAGAACGCGCGTCGTAGTTAAAACGAAAGAAAATTACAAAAAAAAAACCTCACTCAAACTCACGTGTGACAATGCGTGACTCCGATTACTGCCGGCGTCGGTGAGGTGGCACAGCTGTAGGAGGTTATATTGTGAATGCATATATACACACTCCTACATACGTAGTATTCCATTGACAGCGTTGTACTCGTAACATTTGCGCTGATAATTTGAGTTATTTGTTGTTGATGCACGTAGTCAGCCAGCCGGTTCGGGCAGTCGAGCCACTGCATGCTTGTGTAATAGAAAATTTATATGTAAACATTGAGCTGAAATTCTCACTTTGGCAGAACAACAACCGCGCTAAAATTAAGATATCATTAGACCGCTTGCTTGAAGTGGGTGATGAAGAAGTTGAAAGAGGGGGCAAGGAAACATATTAAAACATAGACCATGATGTATGGGCGGTTCATAGCTCGTTGTTGGGTCTCGGAAGGCATCTCGATGTAATAAAAGCTCCTCAGAAAAATGTATGCGCCGTTCTGAGGCGGCTTAAAAAAATTTGTAAATCCCGCCAATTTCCATTTTCTGAAAAAACATTAAGATTCATACCACAAATTAGAGGGGGAGTTCGGCCAAAAATCGCTATAGTATCCAACCAAGCTAAAAATAGCAAACAAATACACGATTAAATAAGGGATTATTACTGGTGTCAGTTATAGTAAAAAATTTATATCCGTACAAAAACATTCACCAAAGGTTGCTAGGAATACTTAATGAATATCGACTTAACCAGAAGCTGGTACCTTACCTACTCACAGTTTCTATGAACGAGCTTTCACAGGAGAGGACGAAACGTTGAGCACTGTCTACACAAGAGCTCGTCCTTCAGCCGATTAAGTCATCATATTTTCCACAATGCCTCAAGCTGGAATATGCGGGGGAGCCACAATGAGCCTACTCAATGGCTTAAGACAGACCGTTCGCAGTCGGGTCCCCAATATCTTTTCTCTCTCAACCAGCTGACAATAAAATGTACAATTTCCGTCCTGGAACACGCTGAAACCAACGGATAACTTGAATGTGAGGTCCAATGAAGGATTGGTGAGAAAATTCCACATTCTACTCTCCCATTAAAGTTTTGAACCATCTTTGTAGATTTCCTAACTACCAACCCGTGGAGTAAAAAAAGTAAAACCGCAACAACCTTAGCTGCTTATTAAGAAGATATGTTCCCTATGATTCTCAAGTGACCTGCTGGTTGACAGTTTCACTGTCTCTTTTCTCTCATGCGAATGGTTGAGAGGGACGTCATGTGATGTGCTGCCAGTTCTGTAGGTAAGATGACAAGGATTTCGTTTAGATCTTAGACTTTAGAGTAGATAGATAGAGATAGAGATAGAGATAGAGATAGAGATAGAGATAGAGATAGAGATAGAGATAGAGATAGAGATAGAGATAGAGATGGAGATAGAGATAGAGATAGAGATAGAGATGGAGATAGAGATAGAGATAGAGATAGAGATAGAGATAGAGATAGAGATAGAGATAGGTAAGAGAGCGTATGCGGCGCAACCAGTGGTTAATTGTGCGATCTGATTTTTCCACATTACTTTAATAAAACTTAAAGCCCTCAGAAGTCAATGCAGTATGAAAGGGCTGATTGATTAAACTGATTGTGCTCCGGATGAATGAGTTATAGATGACTCAGTGTTCATTTAGCTGCTACTGTCTGCCGGTTTTTTCATTACCTTCAATATTTGTGTATTCCAGAACAAAGGTGGGGTGCACTATATCTCTTTCGCCTACTTCATTTGGCTTCTGACACATTTCCATACGATTTAATCGTATTGTTGGTCGGACTAGGAGTACGTACTGCTAACCTCTCACCGGTTGCACAGCTTCAACAGATCTGCTCTTCTTCTACTTCTACCGGCGGGCACTGTATCGAATAATTTCCAAACTGGAGAGCTTTCATTCATTCGGACGACATGACCTAGCCAGCGTAGCCGCTGTCTCTTCATTCGCTGAACTATATCATTGTCATCGTATAACTCGTACAGCTCATCGTTCCATCGTACGCAAAGGAACCATAAATCGTACGCAAAACTCTTGTCTCGAAAACTTCTAGGGCCGATTCATCGGGTTTCGACATGGTTCAGGCTTCTGCACCATATACTAGAACAGAACTGATCGGTCACTAGTAGACTTTACTTATCACATATTCCAAGTGGGTCTAGTGTAAGACTTTATACTGATTTGTATCGTCCAACACACAGAGAAGACTTTCAATAAATTCTTTCCCTTCAAAGCAGGGTCCAAGTATTTCCCGTCTCGTACTGACCTACGCTTATTATTAGGGAAATACAGACTTATTTGAAGAACGCGGGAGATCAAAATCGCAGTATATACAATATTGCTTATATGCTATTTGAGACTAGTACACCCTTGCTCACCCCCTCAGCTGTCAGCGGAAACAGCCGTTATGAATAGTTCACATCCAGTCTACTCGTATTCTCGGTTTCATTGCAAAATTCATGCGCACCGGAGTAAACACAAGTTTTGACATTTGTTTTGAGTGAATTTTCTAAATGAATATCTGTGTATGCGTGTATGTGTGGGTAAGAAGGTGTACTTGCCACTCAAAGACAGATTCAACTCATTCAACAGTTGTTTGCTTGCGGCAGCTCCAATGCCATCTAATGTCCGAAGCGTTTTGAGTTAAAAATTTTATGAAAGCATTTTTGCGACAATTCAGTGCTTTTATGAATTCACTACGGTAAAGTTGTTGGCGTGTTTTGAGGAACAAACGATAAAGCAATAAGCGAATTTACTAAATAATTATATATTTAATGTACGAGTATATGTAATGACAGTGAGCGAATGAGCTGCATATTCAAAAATTAAAAAATTCAATATTTTTTAATTTTTACTGTTATTTATACAAGGAGAAAATAATGAGCATAAATGAGAAATCAGAAATTGTGCTATTGTGAACCAAATTAAGTGCGAGAAGTTGATGTTTTGAGTCAAAATAATCATGTTAAGAAAGTAGTGCGTATAATAAATATTTAAAGAAATAAATGTTTACACGTATGAATGTATGTATGTATGCAACAAAAGTACCAAATAAGCTGTACAAAAATAAATTTGAATTGAAAAAAAAAATCACAATATGTTGCGTAAAAATTGTGTCAAAATTACTATAAATATACATATAAAATTTTTATTAAAAAAAAAAAATAAAATAAAAAAGTGCAAAAAAGTTTATATTTAACAAAAAAAAATATTTTTTATATATAATTATTATTCACCACGTTTTTCTTCACTATATATACACGCACATAAATAATGAAAATACTTCAACGAATAGTGGATAACTCTTATCTATCTTACTAAAATATACTTATAATTAAATATGTAATAAAATATACATACTAAACTAAAATCCAATTGTAATGTGCTATTTTGATATATAATTTTTTAGTGAAAATGTTCATGCAAACGAGCTTGCGAGCAAAAAGTTGCATAATGCCATAATAATTATTTTCCAAACATATTTAATGAGTGTAAATATCTTCAGCGTTACAAATTGTATATATATCTGTCTCTATATACATATATACCAAGTGCATAACTACATATATATATACATACAAATCTAAAGTGCAATCGTTCTCATTCAGCAATGCCATGTTTTCGCCTTTACTCGCCCGAGTTGCTGTCAAAATTTATTCTAAAATGACATATAAAAATATGAACAGGGTTGTCAGGCGATATAATATACATATGACCAAAAAATATATTTATCAAACAATAATTATATTTATTCGAATCTCGCGGCATGCTTAAAGCAGCAGAAAAAAACGTTTTTCAGCAATTTTTTGAAAGAGAAGGAAATTATTGCGGTAAACGAAATTTTCAGATAAAAATCTACCGTGAAAAAAAATTCCTTTTTGAAAATAAAAATTGATTAAAAAAAATTATTTAAAAAAAAAAAATTATTTTGAAAAAAAATTTCACTTTTTATTTTATTTTTTTTTTTTTAATCACTTCATGCTGCAATAAATACAGTTAAATAATGCTTCTGTTCAACTTTTATTGACTAGTACTTCAAGTCAAAAACCATCTATGAATCAAAATCGACTTCGTTCATATGTCCACCACGGCCGTACGTTAGCAGCGGTCGATTCTTTTAACCCAAATTTCGATAATTCGGGCGCATATTCCGACTTAGCTATTTCTCGCTCAATATTGGCTCTGAGCTCTTCTAACGTCGCCGGCCTGCGACATAGACCAATGATTTAATATAGCCCCATAATCGACGAATCCGCTTCTCGAGACTACACGTTCACTGAACTGAGATTTTAATAACACGATTGTTACACCCGATGTATGGTTTGTCGCCCCTTACAATAACATTCCAACATTTCTCTACAACGAATAACATTCACAAAAGGGTGATGGTCATTTTCATCGACGCAAAAACGAGCCAATGACGCCACCGGCTCGAAATCCGCACCAAACAGTGAGTTCTTTTTTCGGATGGAGCGATGTTTCATGAAGTACATGAGGATCCTCAGCGGTCCAGTAACGTATATTTGGCTTATTTACGAAGCGGTTTTACCAGAAAAATTTTAATTTTCTTCAATCATGTTCAGTGCGTAATTTGAGAACGTACATCACTTCACATGTCTGTACTTATTGAATTAGCTTGATCTTGTAAGGGTGTACACCAAGATCTTAACCCAAAACTCGCCATAATGTGGTCTGGGAGAAACCCAATTCTTGAGAACGCTGTGAATTTTACAGTCTTTTCCAAGCGACTTCATATAACTCCATAAAAATGATTCCCACGATCTTTGAGGCCGTGCCACAGGTCTCGAGATAATGCGAATATTGAAAATTTCCTATAAAAAATGAGAGTTTCCTTAGTCGCATGCCATGAAGTGTCAACTTGTTGGAACCAAATAAATATTCTTCAATTCCGTCACGTAAAAATCATTAATCATGGCTCAACAGCGTTTCCCTTGGACTGTCACATTATGGGCTTAGTTTTGGAAGAAATTTGGACCAATGATTCCCTCTGCCTATAGAGTACATCAAACAGTAACTTTTCGAAGATGTACCGCCCGCCTTAGCCATTGCTTATGGATTATCATCACTCTTCAAAAGTGAGCTGAATCGCTGAACAAAATTGTGTGTGAAAACCGAGATCGGCGACCATCAGGTTCAAGTAACTGTCAAAGAGACCAATTACGAAAAATATATTGCCTCATTACAAACCACCCTTTACTTATATAAACCGAACCTTACCCCCTCTTGACCTAGCTATGTGGTTTACGGACGTTCCCTAACTATAGTGAATTGCCCCAGAAATGGCCTCTAATGCTTCTAAGAACATTTTCAGTAAACAAATTTTGATGTTAGTTCGTCGGCATTCTACAATATATAGCAAAGACATCAATGAGTAATAGTATACTGAAGGGTGGCTTCATGCTCATACAACATGATTAGTCTGTAGTTCCATATCCTCGCCCATAAATGCGCACGTTTACTAAGCGATGAGCGCGACCGTGGTGAGGCTCTAAATTAGGACTCCTTTGTATGGCCGAATCAATCTTTCACACAAAACGCTGAAGAGGACCTTATATGCGATATTAATGAGACTTATCCCACGGCAATTGACGCAGTCTGTGAGGTGCCACTTTTGGAGATTGGGTAAAGCACACTTAAGTTCCAATAGTTAGGCTTTCATCCGTCCATATTTTGCAAAAAAGCTGATGTTCCTTGCCAGTTCTTCGCCACAACGTGTGAATAACTCTGCCGGAAAGCCATCCACTCCATCTGCTTTGTTGTTCTTTGTCGGTTTATCGAACGTCTTTTTGATCATCATCATCGACAGGGGTCTTGGAAATACCATATCTGGGTTTTTCTCGATTACACTGCCTCTTCAGCGGTCTTCAATTCTTCTAACTCATTACCTCTGAGAAAATATCCGATCTTTAAATCTTCTTTGAGTCGCCGCACAATCGCAGGGAATTCGCCTTCTCTCTCAGCTTACCTTCAAATAGATGTTTGTTGGCTACGCCGAGAACACTTGCTTTAAGACCGGAAATCGTGAGATGCTTGAACAATATACCCAAATATCTCTTCCCTTAATGATCTAAGAAAATGTAGAATCTATTGCATACATGCCCAGACATGTGTGTGTACATACACTTATATATCAACGAATATGTAATTCTAATACCATATGCACATGGTTAGCTATGTGTGACCACCGTGGCGTATGCGGTTGCACGTGCACACATATCCACGATTCTTCCGCATTTCGTTGGAAATGCAAACATTAATATCTTGTTGTTGCACATCGCTACACACACGTTGATATGTATGGGTGTTGCATGTGCTTGTTAGTGATTTTACATGAGTTTTAGGCGCACACGCTTCGTTATATGCGCCCACACTGAGGTATTCGGTACATTGGCTTATTCAGAATCGTAACGAAATGGTTCTAATGCGTTGTATATCCATCACATAATGGCTGAGTGTAGACACTTTTACGCCAACGTGATAATGTTTTACGCTCAGGTGAAATAAACGCTGAGGTGTGACTCATATATTTATTTACGTATGCTAAATATCTGAGGAACTCACTACGCGCTCTCGTCTTAGAAACGTAGAGATATGTATGTAACACAGGTATTTAAAAATAAGACTGGAGGGTCTGTACATATATCAGCTCCAGTAATAAAGTGAGGTCGCATCAGTGCCACCCCTCCAACACTTTCGGTTTAAGAGTTCACCGAAGTCTAATTGCAGCGTCTTTTCCCCAGAGGTGCGGCTACGAGTTAGCGTCGGTCTAGAAGTAAAATTTAAGCTTACGCAGTGGTATTGCTATCCACCACGTAGAAACCAGATGCAGTGAAAAAGAAACATCAACCTCGGATGAGATACCATTCATTTGAAAACGATCATTACAAACGTATTAAGGACTATGATTTAAGGTCGTGCACCTTGATTACCTGATCCTCGCAAGTCTAAAGTCTGGCATAATCGCCGTCTAATAAGCGTGATAAAAGGAAAAAAGCGGAGACGAGTAAGTTCTTGTGAGATTTACTACGATGGTCGTATGGTGTTGGATTCGTGGTGAGAAAGAGACTCCATCGCCGAGTACTGGCATTCACCCCGTAGGTGAACATCTCGGCACAATAAACATCAAAGCGAAGTTTTTTAACATACCGCTGATTCGTGACCAAGCCCCGATGGAAGCGAAGGACGATGAACGCCTGAAACGTACTCACGAGCGCTTCCCCTGTCATGATTTCAACATTAGGATTGGCGGCTTCAACACCAGGATGGACTAAGCAAGAATCTTCGGTACAAAAGGCGAATCAACCCAAATGGGTTGAGGATGATCAACTTCGCCCATGCCCGAAATATGGTGGTCTGTAGTACTAAATTACTGCACAAGAATATTTACCAAGCTATCTGACTATCTTCAGATCGAAAAACTCAAAACCAGATCGATCATGTTGTAATAGATGGTCGACATGTCACCAGTGTTCTTGAGGAACCAACGTCAACTCGGACTACTATCTTAAAGCAGCACCCGCTTCTGTACCCCAAACGACCCTCAACAAACACAAATAATGTTCGACGTCAAAAAGCTGCCCTGAAAGGTTTTCTAATCGACTTGCATTCATGCTCTCTGAGAGCACTCATCAATAGCTTGGTGTACGTGAACTGTGGGAGGACATTTCAAGCTCTCTACGTTTTCGAAAAGGTCACAAAAGCAGCTGGTACAATGAGGACTGCCATAACGCAGTGGAGATAAAACAGGCTACCAATCTCGCAGTCTTTCAATCCCAAGCAGGTGCAGCATCAGAAAGATACTGAGAGCTGAAGAGTGAAGCAAAACGCATTTGCCGACAAAAATAAAGAAGCCGAAAGGCATGAGTATGAAGAGCTTTACCGACAATTGTAATTCTCGAAAATTCTACAAAAAGATACGGTGACTTACAGAAGGTTTCAATCCCGGAGCAAACTCTTGTAGGATCCAGAGAGTTGAGCGGGTGATTGATGCCCAAAGCATACTGTGAAAATGAAACTCCTGGAGATGGCGAGCACGAATTCCCAATCAATGATGATTCTACAGATCTTACGGCTATGAAGAAATTTAACTAGTAACCGCCAACTTGGAAAACAACAAAGCGGCGGGGGCTAATGGATTGCAGGTCGAGCTATTTAAACATGACGCAGAAGAGCTGACAAAGTGCATGCAACAGTTTCTTTGCCCTACGACTGGATCTTAAGTGTGCTCTACCCAATCCACGAAAAGAGGAATCTCCCAAGCTGTGCGCACTACCGTGGGATAAGTCTCCTAAACATCGCATGTAAGGTTCTCGGTATGCCTTCTCCAATCTACATAAAGAAAGCAATCGAATGGCTGTAGTAGTGAACGTGGATGAAAAATATGGCCTACAATCGATCAAGCAACGATTCAACGCCTTTCCACCTCATTGTTGACAGTCATAAGAGATTTTCGCCGGGCTTCTTCTACAATTTTTGGTATGTGTCTTGATGGTCTTTAGTTCCTTCCAAGCCGCCTCTGTACGGAAAAAGTTATTTTTCTAAATGCGATCGCTCTCGGCGGGGAATCTCAGCCCCAGGGTTTAAGATCTAAAAAGCATTTGGAAGAATTCTCTCTTAAAACCATAAATGTACATAACCACACTTCAGGGCTCTTAATCTCTGCCTGCCAAAGAGATCTAATAAATCTATTTTTGTCAAACTCACACTCATCGCGCTTCTTCTTTTGTCATCAGAGAAAAAATGCCATTAAAAATATGTTGGAAACCTTCGGACACAACTTCTCCCTTGATCGCCGCGCACTTGAACTGAATCCTTTAGAAAATCGAAAATAGCCAAACAAAAGTCCGCCATTAGAAAGTGAAGAAAATAGAAAATAGGCAAAGCCGCAAAGGTAACTCGAATAGAGAAGTTGTATGTGCAGTGAACCCTCTCAATTACATACTTACACAATCGCTTTAGCCTTCCGGATGCCATTCAACTATTGTAAAGACTTCGGTCGCACACACACAAAGACTGCAGTGTGAACACACCCCCACAAGAGCCAAAGACGCATGCATGTTTACTTTAAAGCATACGCTGGCACACACACACACACACACACACACACACATGCGTACATACCCCACTTTCGAACAACAACAACAACAACAACAATTCAATGTGAATCCTTATTTGAAGAAATGATAAACTTTTCACATTGAATCCTATGCATATACTCGTCTATACGCGTATGTATGTGTGTATGTGTGTATGTCAGTACTATAAATATTATCAATGCCTTCTCAAAATACAAATTCAAATGCAAAAGTTTCAAAACGAGAGTACGTTTTACTCCTTTCGATTGATCTATAAATAATTTTAGCCGCCCCATAAACCGCCTTTGCTGTATTTTCAACGCAGCCATTGAGCTTACATACATACTTATATACCTCTCTATGTGCACACAAGCAGGCAGGTATGTATGTGCAGGCGTGGACATAAGCATTGGCAACAACTCGCATTGCTGAACATGCCGTCGAGAGCCGTGAGATATAAAGAGAGAATGTCGATAAACGCGACCGAGGAACGTGCAGGCATGTGTGAGTTCGACTCATATGGCTGCGCGCTGGGACCCTGCTGTATTGCTGACGCGAAAGCGTTTGATACCGACCACATCACATAGCCCAGCACGCAAGGTGCCGCTATTGGTGGTGGTGGTGGTGGTGTTGTTGGTGATTGGCATTGATGTTGGCGATGGCGATGGCGGTGAAACGTGATTGTGCGATAACACATTTTCGAATAAAACAATTTTGTACGCGCGGCATTAGCTCAGTCGAAGGAATATCGTCGCCAAGTATTGTAAGGATTGAAAGGATAACGGAGAGCAATTGAACTTATATTAAAAATATTAAAAATATTTAAAAATACTTAAACAAAAATATGCAAAGAACTGTGAAATAAAAAAGTGTGGTGAATATAAATTCTAAAATAAAATATTTATTAATTTTAATTGATTAAAAAAAAAATTATTTGTTGATTTTTCGAAAATAAAATTAAAAATAAAAATAAAATTAGAATTATGCAAAACTCGCAAGCATTTTAAATTTTTTTAAGAAACAATTTTTTCAATTTTACGGAAATAAAAATATAAAAAGATTAAATATTATGCAAAACATTCAAAAGTGTGATGAAAATAAATTTATAAAGACTATCTTTAGTTTCATATTTTATTAAAACAAACTAATTGTTGATTTTTCGAAAATTAAATTAAATAAAAAAATAAAAATCATGCAAAACATTTAAAAGACTGGTGTATAAAAATTCTAAAAAAAATTGTTGACTTACCTTTTATTAAAAAAAATAACTATTTGTTGATTTATTTAAATTAAAATAAAAAAGAAATCATGTAAAAGTGCAGTGAATATAAATAAATATAAAATTTATTTCTTAATATTAAATTTTATAGAGGAAACTGTTTTTTGATTTTTCGCAAAAGAACATACAAAAAGAATAAGTAAAATTCAAAAGTGTGATGAATATAAATTAATAAAAAATATTGTTTGGTCTCATATTTTATTAAAAAAAAAATAATTGTTGAATTTCTCGAAAATAAAATTAAAAATAATACAAAACATTTGAAAAGTGATGAATATAAATTCTAAAAAAATATTTATTACTTTTGTATTATTTAAAAAAAAAATACTTGTTGATTTTTCGAAACAAAAAAAAAATTAAAAAAAAAATAAATAAAACTATGCAAAACACTCAAGGGTGTGATGAATATAAATTCATAAAAAATATTGTTTAGTCTTAAAAAATAATAATGGTTAATTTTTTTCGAAAATAAAATTAAAAATTATGCAAAACATTTCAAATCTGAATATAAATTCCGAAGAAGTATTTATTAGTTTTGTATTATTTTAAAAAAAATTTTGAGATTGAAAATAAAATAAAAAGAAAAAAATAAAATTATGCAAAACACTCAAAGTTGTGATGATTATAAATTCACATAAATTTTTTTTTTTTATATTTTATTAAAAAATAATAATTGTTGATTTTTCGAAATTATAAAAAGAAAATAAAAAGTGAGTTAAATATAAATTCTAAAAAAGTGTATTTGTTAATTTGAATTTTTATTAAAAAAAAAAAACTATTTGTAGATTTTTCCAAAAATTTAGCAACAAAAAATAAAAATTATGCAAAACACTTAATAGTGTGTTGTATATAAAGTCTAAACAATTGTTCATTAATTTTATATTTAATTACTTAAAAAATTTTTTTTGAAAGAAATGATTTTTCGAAAATAAAAATAAAAAATTAAAATTAAACAATAGTTGTTAAAGTTTTATATTTTTGTTTGAAATTCGAAAATGAATTTTAATGCATTTTTGTATTAATCAAATTAAAATTAAAAAAAAAATTAAATTAAACTAAATAATATAAAAAAACTTAATATAATTTATATATATTTAACATATTTTATATATATTAAAAATATATAATATACATATGTATTTATATATTTAGTTAATATTTTATGTATATACCTTTTCTTTGAAGATCATAAAGACCATTTGAAATCATTTCAACATAATAACTTATTGTGTAACGGTATTTCTAAAACTAAAAGTGCTAAAACACACCAAAAAAGTGTAGTGACTTTTTATAAAAGCATTTTTTATACTAAAAACTAAGAAAGAAAAAAAACTTTATATACAAAGTATAAAAGTATACAGCATATATTTCCATTGAAAAATAACAAAAAATAAGCGACAAGAAAATGGAAGGCGAATCAACAGAATCTACACACAATACCAAGGTTTCGGACTCAGCATATTCAAATAGCTGCAGTAATTCGCAGTCACAAAGGAGGTGAGTTTTTCACTCAAAGAAATTGTATTTTTACAACTATTTTTTATTGATTTTTTTTTTATAAAAAAAAAAAACTATGAAAATTAGCAAAAATATAAAATAATATTTAAAATAACAGTTAACTATTAAAACATTTTCTATTAAAATAAATTTAATGAGTTTTATGTTTAATCAATTGATTTAGTTTAGTCCGATTTTGTTGTTACAAACCAATTTTGTTAGTGTTTGCTAGCCATAAAAGAATTTCCATAAATTTGTAATGGAAAATAATTATATGAAATCTTTTATATTTCCAACTAGATAAATAAAGTTTTTGACTAAAGAATTAAATTAATTAATCAATTTTTTAATCAGAAATTTTTATTTTTTTTAACTTCGTATTTTTATCTTTAAAAATAAAATACTGGCAATTAAAAATAAAAATACTAAGCAAATATTTAAAAATTTTTAATTAGTAAATTAATAAAATTTAACTCGATATCATATTTTTTAATCTCAAAACTATCAATTAATAATTAATACTATAATAGAATTAGGCATAAAAACTTTGCTATAAAAATTTAAATAAAAAAAATAATTTATACAAGGTAAATAAAAAAATATTTTTTCTAATTGCGGTAGAATGAAATTTCGAGTCTGATTATATTTCTGACATAAATTAAAGACTCTTCATAAAAATCCATCAGCCGTTCGAAGGCTGCTTAGAACAAACTCCCAAAAGCTTGACCGACAATCGCTTTAACAAAGCGTTATTTAAATGTTTATAAAGTCCTACCTTAAATAAAAATAAAAATACAGTTCTACAAACAGATCTAACCGCCACATAATAGATCCTCCACTTTTGACCGTCGTATCCCATGTTCGGTTCTACACAAACTTAGTCTACTTATTTCTTGGTGTAGTAGATGCTTAAAGTTTCTTCTTAATCCCTCTTGATTATCCTTATGGGTTTCTTAAATTTATCGCTTTTTTAACAAGTTTCTCCATCACACTAAGAACGTACGTATAATCAATCAAAAGGATATTTAGACCCCTTCTCGAATGTGTGGATCTTCCGCAGTGGTAGAGTATACAAATATTCGAACTTTTCTCAACTTTTCATCAACTTCTAAAGTCATTAAATGAAGCACTTGGGCTCTCAGCTTCATTTGCATCTACGTTGCAAAACATGGGAGGTGCTTTGCCCTTTATATACCATAGCAAAGAGACTTGCACCGACTCAGGTTATAATGATAAACCCACCATCCTTCTCTTCATTGCAGAGGTTATAAATTACAGGTGAACACTCTGATTTGATATTTTACAGGCGTGAGCTTCTCGACAGCCATCTTTCACTGACCTCAGTCATGTTAAGATAATCGTTTTAGATTTTAAAAATTCTTGTGTCGGATACTCCAAACATTTTTGGTTCAGTTCTCGCGTGGTCACCTCGATGCTTTTGCCTGGACTCGCCTCGTCTTCAAGAAATTCCCTTTTATGTTTGAATAATCTGTGTCACTTGTACGTCATGGTTTTTTCGCGAACAAGAGTCACCATAAACTAGTGGCAACTCATTCATTATTCCTTGTTAAGGAACTTTATATACGGTTTTTTCCATCTCTCAGTTTTCACTTCCGATTAGCTTGCTTGGTTGACAATAGCTCAAAGACTAATGTCTAATAACAATGAAATCTCATATTTATGCTACTTTTCAGCGCTACTGAACAAGTTAGGATCCTAATGAATCTAGTCACCCACCACAACCCTCTCAATTCGCGAACATAAAAACTCTCCCCTGTAAATAACCAATATAGATCCATAGTGCAGCGCCAAATTATAATGGAAAGTCCAAGTCATATGAGCTTTACCGTCGCATAGAGAACTGTGATCAGAGCTGCTGAAGAGTCTTTATCAATGTGTGTAGTTTGGTATTAAAATGATGAAACGCAATTCCCCTCCTGTTGGCGAAAGCTGAGCGCTTCTGAGCAATTGCTTCCTTCGGACGGTTCAATCGCTGTAGGTTCAGGTCTGTATTCAAAGCTCGCTTGTTGAGTAGCAGCTCATAGTGTATTATTCCTGGTCAATGCCATAAAAAAATCTTTCTAGCTTAGAAAGGGTTTTTACTATCAGACAGTGACCGGTGTTCAACCTGGATAGTATATTGCAGTAAGCTAGTCTCTGTCCTTTTAAGTTAGCATCCTCAACGATAATTTCTCTTATTTTGAGCTTGCAGATGGAGAATGACATGTCCCAGTCCTTCCATGATATAAAGAGAGGATCTTATCTAAAACTACAAAACCAAATCGTTTTATCTTAAAAAAGTAGACTGAATTTAGTTCGAGTTGCTGTCCACAGTCATGGCATTCTAACAAGCTGACTCTGAAGAGAATCCCAATTTTTTTTTTTTTATACAGAATTCATTTATTCAAACTACGGCTGAGAATCCAAAATGGCTAAACTCTCAAGAGCAACTGCTTGCTTTTCTCCAATCACATTGTTTTTTACTTTACAGTTAGTTATGACTAACTACATTATGATTGTTGTATAAGCAAATGCCTCAAATTCAAAACAGAATCTACGACAAACGACAATTGTAAATCCCAACTACAAAAGCAAATTAACAAACACCGCATACGTTCTAAGTAAAAACAAATGGGTAATTTTATAAGTAAACTAAAGACATGTACCATTAAACGTGACCACGTATTTTCCAGTTTGTCTTCATTGAGTACAACAACTCACTCAATGATGCCATTGAGTGGACTCTACGAGTCGGCAATGCACTACACAATGGAATACTACAACTGTATTTCGCAACGGTGAACAATGAGAGTGAGAGCACGCTTATTCAAAATCATATAAGATGTTTCATAGATGAAAGCTCATATTGGCGATAGACATTAGGGCGGTTGACTTTTAGTTGGACAAAAAATTTTAAATATATTAATGGTAGATATATGTAGTTTAGATTAGGTTACACTGACCGTCTGATGTCTTTCATAGGCTTGTGAGTGTTTTGTAAATAGTTTCCTCGTCGTATAGGAGGTTAACGCTTTTCGAGAAGTTCAAGAGAGCCTTAATATCCGACTCCAAAATATCTAAGGTGGAATTCAGCTAAGACCGGAGAGAACCTGAGGAGATGTTTTAACATCTCACTCATGCTAACCTCCCTGTACTTCCTACACATGTGACTGCTACTAATTTCTGTTCTGTTTCCATGAAACATGAGGCGGTAGTGGCCCGTCATTAAGCTAATAACTGTCCTGCAGTCCTTACGTAAAGGTTTCAACAAGAAATTGTGGTTTACTTTGCTGATATTGCACATAATTGTGGTGGGTTTGCATGTCTTACCCTGATCCGGATCCCAGTTCCTTCGGAAATTTCTTTTTAGCTCGTTTCTAGCGACTTTTGTATATTCTGTACTGGATCGCCAGCAAGATGTATGACACTTTTAGCAACCTCATCAGCTATTTCGGTGCTCACAATGTCATTGTGGTCTGAAACCCAGTGTATATGGAGTCGCTTACCCAAGGTTGCCTTTCCTACTGCTTCCCTGCTTCTAAGAACATTTTCTGACGCAATACGATGTAAGATTATTGTCTTAACTGTCGCCTGGACATGCCTATTGATATTATATATGTGATTTTCTACGTGGCCACTGTCGGAAAAAATACTGCAGGACTCTACACGCTTGAAGGGTTGTCCGCGATCTAGCTCGGTATAATAGACCCTTAGACTCAGGCCCACACAATCAGCCACTTTTGATAACCAACGTGCCACTGACAGATCGCATGCTCTTGCGCAATCCGTCATCCTTGAACGTCGCTTGAATCCTTCTCTCCGAATTAAAGCGTGAGTGGATGGAATCTATTCGGTCCTCTATCCCCTGCATATCGAACTGTCCGGAAGGTTCTTGCGTAGAATTCTCATAAGGCCATCAGTATTATGGCGGAATTCACTCTAGGTAACTAATGTTTCAAGGGCCGTTGTTGGAACCGCTGTTGGAACCGCTATAACTGCTCAAATGGTTTTATATACTGGATTTGTTAGCAGCGGTCCACCACACCAGAGTGCCATAGAGCAATATTGGCTTTATTACCGCTGTGTAACACCAATGATTGGGACCAAATGAGGTACCCAACAATTTTCCATATGCATAAAAGGCACCATTCATCGTTCTCGCACTTTTCTCTACATTTAGCTTCTACATAAATTTGCGCTCCAAAGTTACTCCCAGGTACCTGGGGTGATCTTGGATTCTTGATAGCTCCACCCCGTTGAGCCTCGAGGGTTTTCACGCAGGGATTTTTTTACCTTCTTTTGAAGAGTACCGCAACCGTTTTGTCTAAGTTGGATAGTTGCCTTCCATCTATGTATGATGTCGAGTTCCTCTCCGCGGTAGCCTGCGCAGTCGGTAACGTTCCACTCCAAGTTAATCTTTCTGAAAATGAGCGGATTTTATTTTATCCCAAGTAGAGACTTAACCACGGTTATATAGCCATTTTGATGAAGGCCTGTTTAACGCCAAGAGTCGACTCTTCCAAGGGGGTGAAAATTGACCTGCATGTGCAAACATTATTCATTTTAGAACTTTGCGACGAAGAGGCTGCTGTCGATTACTGCAATCGAAGAAAGCCATTGCAGCTATTTTGGAATAGTGAATCCCGTGATCACGATTAATGTCCTAATTACGTTATAATTTCCAGAAGTAGCATGCACACTCTCTGCGGTTTAGGTAGGTTGAGGTATGAGGATGCCAGTTAACCCCCAACCGCTTGTCAAACCTATGTCTGTGGGGTTAGCAAATCAGAGCAAACGAATCTCTAAACGCTGACGTTCCTTGAAACTGCTACTCCAAGGTGCTGGGCATTCGCGAAGTGCTTTAGGATTTCAGGTTCTTCCTTTTCTCTAAATTACCTGCAAAAGTCATTTGATGTTACGCCTAATCCCCCGTTGGGAGACCAATCGTCATGAAAAACTATTTTCTTTTTAGCGAGATAAGCTTTCTCGGCCTTCTCTTACCCCAAGCAGGCCACATTATTCCTGTTACAATGTAACTGCGATGAAAGACTCTCTTAGAGAGTTTCGTGCATAAACTCATTCCTGATGCCGAAAGTGGATGGGAAGTGCCCGATCCTATAAGGGGCCCTCTCGTTACCTGCGCTACTATGTCCTGGTATCCATGCTAGGTTCAAAGAGGGTTTGAGACTGTGATCAAATATAGGTCTATGTTTTTTCTGTATATATTTTTGGTTCACCTTAATGAAAACTCACACAATCTCATGGCTGTTCAGTCAACGGAAAGAACGTTGATATGTGGGAGGTATGTGTGTATATGTTTAGAACGGATATTTATGTATATAACTGTATTTATAACAACGTGATAAAAAATTAGAGGGTTTGTTTGGAAGTCTATTGGTTGATAAGAATTTTAAAAATAGATCTTAGGAAATTATGGGAGTTTATTTGCTCTACAACACAACGAAGACGAAGGCATAATCCACCGTGAAAATAGATTATTTGTAATTTAAATATAACTAATATATATACATATGTACATATGTATGACATGTTTTAGAATATGTATGTAAAATATACTCTTATGTTTCAAAAGAAGAAAGCTCGACAGAATTAGATTTTTTAGTATCTGCGACGGAGCGTTTTTACGTTCTCGGAATGTGAAGTATGTGGGGGGGGGGGGGAGGTTTATTCGGATCGTAACGTGTTCAATGACTCATAATTACGAAGACGGCAACTCTTGACCACGAAAACCCAGGATGTGTAAATGACATAATTTATTTAAGAAAACAAGCGAATCTCTTGAAGACCAACAGAGGACAGGAGCATTGAGGTTAGCACACTGGAACTTAACCAAAAAAGTTGAAGAAAGTGTTCGCGCCAAAGCTCAAGACAAGAAGAAATAAGTCGCAGAAACGGTCGGGGTATCTCATACAACCAATTATAAAATTCAGCAAAATCATCTTGGCTTGTCTAAAATTAGCGCAAGATGGGTACCGCAAAATGCTCACTTCTCCGCAAAAACCACGGCGCATAGCGTCTTTTGTTGCATTTTTGAACCTTTGTAATGAAGAGTAGGATGTCGTGGTTTGAATTTTTGACTGGAGATGAAACTTGTGTTCAGCATTATGAGCCTGAGTCGAGAAAAGACTCTATTCATGGGTATATAAAGAGTAGAGCAACTTCCAAGAAGTTTAAGGTGTCACAGTCAATTGGGAAACTCACGGCAACGGTCTTTTGAGACTTGGTAGAAATATTATTGATGGATCGATAATAAAGAAAATCGTGTTTCTATAAAGCTTCAATATTTGAGCGACTAAAAGAAGTCATTAAGAGAAAAGACATAGAAAATTTACGAAAGTTGATATGACAACGCGCCAGTGCTCAGGAACCACGTGCCTTGGCTGCAACGTATAAGGTGGGTTTCATTTGTTCTAACTTGCCCAACCTACAGCGCAGGTCTAGCCTCAAGTGATTATTACAAATCTCCTAAAAAAAAAGCGCTGAAGGGTAAAAAATTTGTCACCGATGACAAAGTTAAGTAGACCTCTTCGGCGTATTTTGAAAATTAAGAGAAAATCTTTTTTCTGGGGACATAAATAAATTAATTGAAAGATCTGAAAATGTACCCATCTTGCAGCTAAATATATTGATAATTTTTTTTTTTTCATTTCGAACCCTTCTCCCGCATTCCGCGAGCATAAAACCGCACCCTCTTAAATCTAAAAATTTGCCTTAAAATTTCAAATATCACCATTGTTGTTGCTATGCTATTTAATTGCAACCAAGACAAATTTACTAATCGGCAATTCATAATACAAAATTCAATATCCCTTTAATCATAATTCATTTTCATTTCCAGTGGCAGTTCGAAATCACGTCTTAGCGGCAGTCATTCCTCCGGCAGCAGCGGTTATGGCGGCAAACCATCTACGCAAGCGAGCAGGTATGTAATCAAATAAGCTCTGCGATTATAGCCCGAATCCTTATTTTTTCGGCTGATATGACGTCAACACTAAATGTAATTGAATAAACAAAATTCCCATACCAATCGTTACGTATTATCCGATTTTCTTCATATTTTTATTTATTTATTTATTATTATTATTTTATTTATTTATTTAATAACAGCAGCGACATGCACATTAAACGCGTCAAGGATAAGGCACGCAAGAAGAAGAAGTTGAAATGCTCCGCACAAACGAATATTCTGGAAAATCAAGATGACACACCAAACACAAGCGAGCCGCAGGGTGAGGAACAAATCACTTTGGGCTGCGACAAGGCAATCGGTAAATTGATACTTTCGTATCTCAAAAACATTATATAAGCACCAAACGTACATACAGTGTTGTCAAACACAAATATACAATCATTAATCAATGAATTAATATTAATTTGTAGCACAATGCAGTCGCCAGAAGGAAAATAAGGATGCGTCATTAACGCTGTTGGAGAAGGAGACAACCGAACAAACTAAATCGGAGATTTCATTGCAATTTCCCACGCCATCACCATTGTCCAGTGAGTATTTGTATTGTATTTGTTGCAGAAATTACAAAATTTCACATTTATTAGCCTTAAGCAAATTGGTTGAATTGTTTTCTACATTTTTTTTATTTAATTTAACTGTATTGAAGTAATACCGATAAATTGTCTTCCTGCGTCTGTGAAACGCCTGAATGTAGGCAGCAATATATTGTATATGCATTATTTTATAAAATATAATTATAACACTGCCTACATTTAGGATTATATTTATATCATAAAAAACCAACTAAACTTTTTTATAAACAATATTAAAAATCAAAAATGTAGAGATCATAAAACAGACGCTGATTAAGGTAAGGGCTGCGGCTAATCCAAATTCCTGAACATAATTTTTTGAAAGAAAGGGAGACATATCGCTTACGCAATTATTAATGCACAATTCACCATAAATTGTACGCAAAGCTTTTTTTTCGATGACTCCCAAGACCGACTCAGCGGCTGGCGACATCGTCCTGGCTTCTACACCAAATAGTACAGCGGATATCTTTTTTTTATCGGATAAATTTGATATAAAACGTTTCAAAGATTTCTTAAACCACAAATTTTAATAATTATTGTATTTTGTGCTTCGCAGTCGTTGAATGTTTTGAATTTTTTTTTCAGCAACCACACTGCAAGGTGGAAAATCCGAGAGAACTTGCGAATCCGCACCAGGAAAATTGGAGAGTTCCGGCAAGGCCGAAAAACTCAAAGAGGTAAGAATAGATGAAATAAATTAAAAAATAATTTCTCGAACGGTATGTCGCCAGGTTTATAGAATAAGAAATATGCTAAGGGTTTAAGTAAATATTCTACGGCTCTCTCTCTCTCTCTCTCTCTCTTAGATGGCTTATGGGGAGAGATAGAGGTTGCGTTAATCCTCAGTGGGTTGTTGAAGATATGAGAAGCTTTATTCAATAAAATTAGCAATTGACTAAAACCCATTTTTAATGTAGGCCGCTTTATAAACGGTGAAGTGATTTTCGGCCGAGCTCCTCGTCCAGTTTTTGGTGTACACCTCGATGTTTTTCCAAAAAAATGGATGGACCTAGCTTTTCTTCTAAGCCATCTCCGCACACATGGGCAGCATATTTTGCGAGAGGCAAACGCAGTGAGAAAAAAATAATTTCTCATGACCCTCCATACCCGATAAATATTCAGAGATTAAATTTAAGATTTTCTAAATTTTACATAATTTTCTAAAATTCATCAAAAGAAATAAGTGAATAATAAATATAAAACACTCCGCTCTTTAAAAACCTCAAACCTTGTTAGGAGTTCAATTAGGAATTTTTTTTTTATTTCATTAAAAAAATATATGTCTCTACCCTTGATTTTCTCATTTCCCTACCCCAAAGGAGAGTTTCTGCTGTGTGATATCCATGCATGACGGCATAGTGCTCTACACAACGCCGAGCATAACTGATGTTCTCGATTTTCCACGTGACATGTTGCTGGGACGTTCATTCATTGATTTCGTACATCCCAAGGATCGCGCCACCTTCGCCAGTCAAATCACCACCGGCATACCGATAGCCGAGTCACGTAATAGCGCACCTAAAGATGCACGCACTACATTCTGTGTAATGTTACGTCGTTATCGTGGCTTGAAATCGGGTGGTTATGGTGTCATCGGACGTCCGGTGAATTATGAACCCTTCCGTTTGGGATTAACATTCCGTGAGGCGCCCGAAGAGGCACGACCCGACAACAATCTCGTTTCGAATGGCACCAATATGTTGTTGGTCATATGTGCCACGCCCATTAAGAGTTCTTATATAGGTATGTATGGTGTTTGAATTTAATATTTGCTGGCTCATTTGCATCAGCGCGTTTTCTGGCAACCTCATTTTCAGTGCCAGATGAGATACTCTCGCACAAGAGTCCTAAATTCTCCATACGTCATACAGCGACGGGAATCATTTCGCACGTGGACAGCGCTGCGGTATCAACATTGGGTTATTTACCACAAGATCTTATTGGACGTTCAATATTTGACTTTTATCATCCGGAAGATCTTATGGTATTGAAGGAAATTTACGAAACCGTCATGAAGAAGGGACAAACAGCGGGCGCTTCTTTTTGCAGCAAACCGTATCGGTTCCTCATACAAAATGGCTGCTACATATTATTGGAGACGGAGTGGACAAGTTTTGTGAATCCATGGTCGCGTAAGCTGGAGTTTGTTATCGGACACCATAGAGTGTTTCAGGGTAAGTGTGGTGGAAACTACGAGTGTTATTTGCTTGCTGTTGGTACTTTCAATGTTGAGCTTTCAATTTGTAGGTCCAAAACTTTGTAATGTTTTCGATACGGCACCGGCAAACAAACCAAAACTTTCAGATGAGGTACGTAGTCGAAATATACGCATTAAAGACGAAATACTCAAACTGCTGGAAGAGTCCATATCGCGGCCTTCGGACACGGTAAAGCAAGAGGTGTCACGCCGTTGTCAAGCGTTAGCTTCTTTCATGGAAACTCTCATGGACGAGGTGACACGCACTGATCTCAAATTAGAACTACCTCATGAGAATGAGCTGACCGTCTCGGAGCGAGATTCGGTGATGTTGGGCGAGATCTCACCACATCACGATTACTATGATAGCAAAAGTTCGACGGAAACACCGCCGAGCTACAATCAACTGAATTATAATGAGAATTTGCAGCGCTTTTTTAACAGCAAGCCTGTTACCGCGCCGGTCGAGGTCGACCCAATGAAGAATGAACAGTCTTACAGCATATCGGCTGACGCACGTAACACGCTCAGTCCGGTGCAGTGTTTCGAGGGTAGTGGCGGCAGTGGGTCCTCGGGAAATTTTACATCTGGCAGCCACATACACATGAGTAGTATTACGAACACCAGTAACGCCGGCACCGGCACCTCATCGGGTAGTGCACAGTTGGTCACATTGACCGAGTCGCTGTTGAATAAACATAACGATGAAATGGAGAAATTCATGCTGAAGAAACATCGCGAGTCTCGCGGTCGTTGCGGTGAGAAGAGTAAAAAGGCCACAGAAAAGGTAATGGAGTATAGCGGGCCGGGTCATGGCCTCAAACGGGGCGGCTCACATTCTTGGGAAGGTGATGCCAACAAACCGAAACATCAACACACGAACGTAATGGACGCGCAACGTGACTACGCTGATCATCACAATATGGCGGTGAGCGCGAGTGGCAAAGCTTACGGCTCGTTGCAAACAACTCTGGGTGAGACAGCCTTTGCTAGTTCTTATGCTGCGGCGGGTATATCTTGCACGCGCAATGTCAATCTCTGGCCACCCTTCTCCGTGGGCATCAATACGTCGCACACGTCGCAAACTGTGGCGCAAGCCGGTTTCACACCGCAACACAGCATATTCCCGACATTCTACTACATACCAGCCACAGCGGCGGCGGCTGCAGCAGCCGCAACACAAGTTCAGACCAAGCCCAACATGGCGGACATGCCGAGCACTTCGGCTCAAGCGCTGCCGCTTCAATATATGACTGGTGTTATGTATCCGCATCCATCACTATTTTATACACACCCCGCGACGGCTATGATGTACCAGCCCATGTCATTTTCAAATATGTCCAACTCGTTGACGCTGTCGGAGCAGGCGAGCAGTTCGAATGCTTTCAAAACGGTTAGTTTTTCATCAAAACACAATCAGATTCTACATATGTACATATGGATGTATAGATGTATATAATAACATTAAATATTCTTTTGATCAATAGAATCAACCGGTCATGTTGGCTCCAACGCCCACGAAGACGCAAGGCGCTTTCCACTCGATTACACCTGCGCAGCTGCAACGCCCATCGTCACAGGCGACGTCGGTGAAAGCTGAACCCGGCTCTAATATGGTAAGTTGGTGTTTGTTGTTGTTGTTTTCATTTAACATAGGGCAATTTATGATTTGTTTTATATGTATATGTATAAATGAAGGCGCCTTCGGATTCATCGAAAAAGGGTATTGCGGACTCACCGATTCCATCCGTTTTAGGGGATTATGTGTCGGATCAACACAATCCTATGGATCTGAAGGTGCGTAAGTACGAATTATTATTTAAGATATACGAGAGAACGTTTTTTATTGGAGTTTTGTAATCAGAAAAAATCACAGCTCTTGGCCAGAAAAAAGTCGGGGCAACTCTAGTGCGTAGAACCGACTCTCATGGAAGTCGCTCCGAGTAATATTGTCACAACTGAGGTCTATATACACCAAATAAACGGGTCTGTGATAGAGTCTACTCAAGGAATCTTAGCATTACCAAGTCCTTGCATTTTTTTAAGAAGAGCTGGTGTCTATACAAGAACCTATATAACTTGTCTAGGGTTAAATGTACTTACATTAAATTGTTTTCATATCTTTTCCGGGATAAGGGAAGTATTAAGAGCACTGAAATCTGCATAAATAAGAAAACAAAAAGTTGAAAATAACCCCAGATTGCTTAACGAGATGACTAAACAGTTCTCACTGAGCCTAATATGGGTGCCTGTACACAGTTACATACCGAGTAATGAGATGGCGAATGAACTTGCATGGAAAGACATTTCACCTTTCACCATCATGATAGCCTAAGACAGCAACCACATCAATCTAACTTAGATAACTCAACGTGTAGACACTTTAGTAGACTTCCTTTTTGCCCAGATTCAACTCAGAGGTTCTAGGTGTCTAGGCATGCATGTAATGCCTGGAGAATTCTAAAATTATATTTGCCCGTACGTGAGGCTCTCGTTAGATTACATCGACTAACTTTGCCTGTCCCTAATCGCGGTTATCAGCAAAACTATCGCTCTCTCTACTTGGGAGCCATCTTATCGAAAAAAAAGAAAACTTTTATCTGCTGTGAGATAAATGCCAACACCTCCCGAATCGTGATATATTCACTTGAGCTATTTCTCTAGTAAATATCGAAGTCAGGTTTGCTCAGTACATTCATTATATTTCTTCGTGAGAGGAGGTCGTGAAATTCTTCGGCGTCCTAGCGGTTCGCTAGCCCCGCTTAAGCACAATCTAAGTCGCCGAGGTCATCTAATGGGAGGTCCAGGAAACGAGCTGTTTCGACGGGGTTGGACCAAAGGGAGAGGGGGGTTAGATGAGTTGGTTTGAGAGGGCATCTAAAGAGGTGGTTAATGTCATGCGGAGACTCTCCACATGAAGGGCATATGTTGGGTATGCCGGGGTCTAGTCTGGACAAGTAGAAGTTTAACCTGCTACAATATCCAGACCTGAGTTGTGGCACGTGGGTCTCTCGAGGCAGCTGGAGCTCGTTGTCTACTATAGGTGGTGGTATTTCTCCGAGTACGCCATTCACTGGAAGGCAGTCCTTGAAGGTGTACAATCATCGGCATACGAGGTTAGGGAAACTTCTTCTAGTGGAGGAGGGAGTTTCGAAATATAGAAATTAAACAGTAGCGGGGAGAGGACACCACTCTGCGGAACCCCCTGTTTAATTTCTCTGGGTTTTGATGTTTCACCTCCGAATATTACCGATGATTGTCGACCACTCAGGTAGCCCATGACCCACCTCTGCAACCCCGGCGGTAATGAGGATTCCTCAATGTCAGTTAGTAGCACTGAGTGATTTACTGTGTCAAAAGCTTGCGACAAATCCAGTGCTACCAGGACAGTTCGCGCGCAGGATCGGTTTTGGTTAAGGCCATTGACTATCTGGGTGTTTATGGCGTTTAGTGCTGTTGTGGTTCTGTGCACTTTATGGAAGCCATGCTCATGTGCTGCTGGACGCAGATGGTGAGTGAAAGTCGAGAGCATTAAGGCCTCAAGTGTCTTCGCTACTGGGGAGAGGAGAGTTATCGGCCGATAGGACTCTTTTTTGTTGGCTGGTTTCCTCGGTTTGAGTAGCGGGACCACCCTGCCCATTTTATTGAATATTAATACTTTTGTACTGTTGGTATTCCAAGGCAGGAACTTACTTTTAATATCATTTAAGAGCGCTGATCTCGTAGCGAGGTGTTGGCTCAGTTTATTATTTTTTTCCCTACGTCTTTCCGTGGTCATATGATAACATTGGAGTCTAAAGGATGTTAGGAACGAAAGGCTAAGCGAGCTTGTGTTCAATTTGCAAGGGTTCTTGAGGCCTGCAATTTTTTTTAACTAACCGAGGTAAATTCTTAAGCCAAGCTTATAGAGCAGAAATATTCAAACCAACCGAATATAGGGCAGAATTGAGAAGGTTCTTTCGAAAAGTTTACAAAAATTTGCAATCCAAATCTGTTTTGTTTTATTTTAAAAAGTATTAAACTTTATTTTCTGTGCCACTCTTTTACAGCCCAACAGTGATAGCAATGCTAACAGCGACGACATGGATGGTTCCAGCTTTTCATCTTTTTACTCCTCATTTATAAAAACCACAGACGGATCGGATAGTCCTCAGGAGAATGATAAGGAAGGGAAGCACCGAAAATATAAAGTATGTTTTTGCTTTTTTTAATTAGAACTAGTAAATAGCCTGCTTGTTTGTGGAAAAAAATCCCAATATCCAATTTCTAAGGAACACGAGTGTTAAACTTGACTAAAGCTTACTGTATGTATGTGCATTTGCAGAAGCATACAGCAATATATATGAAAAAACAATTACCCAATTCCTTACCTCCCTACTTACTTGCAGGTACAAACCGACTCAAAGTCAATGGATAATGCTGAAGAAGACCAAACGTTACATGGTGATGGTTAAATATTGTTTGCATACATACATATGTACATACATACATGCATATTTATTTGTACGTGTACGTGTGTGAAACGTGAGTTGCACATCATTGCAAGCGATGAGACAAGTTTTGTGGCAACGTGACGATCAGCAAACGGAATTTTTATTTACAAACTAAACCCCAAACACACAAGTCCACTTTGGCTTAGCATTAAACACGACAAAAAGTGTAAGTGTAGCATTCAAAATCACGTTGGCAAACAGCTATTTTTGAACTTTAATTTACCTTATTCTCTCTATGCTTTAGATTAGCGCAAGGTATTGTCGCTGGCATGCAATAAAATAAATGCTGAAAAAAAATACATTTTACAATTGGCTACGTAACAATTGTGACGACGTTGTGGTTATGAACCCCCACTTTTTTAACGGACGTAGTCTTTCTGTGTAACACAGATTTTTTTGATTTTTTTCCATTGTATATATCTATAAGTATATGCATATACATATATACATATGTATATGGTATAAAATGCAAAATGCAAAATGCAAAATTAATTTTAAAAAGTTAAGGAAATTTACTTTGTTACGAAACAACAACGTGAAATACAATAAACAATAAAAAAAATTACATATATTTATTTAGAAAAACAAAAAACGAACATGCAGCAAGATATAGCCTTTCATTTTCGTTTCTTTTTCGGTTTAGCACTGCCGCAACTCTCCGATTTCTCCTTATCTTCTCTGGTCGATTTTTTAGCTGACTCCTTTGTTGTTTGAAATTGTTGCAAATCGGCACAAAATAGCACAGCTTGGGCCCAACCAGCATACGGTCCGTAAATGTTGCGTAAATGATTTGCTATTTCCTCATAAATACGCGGTGTCACTGTTTTCACTTTCGCCAACTCTTTGGGCATATACACGTTTTGTGCAATTTTATAAATATGCGTATCGATTGGCACCGCTTCCAGATGGCCCAGCGACATAAGGCAAATACAATCGGCAACTTTATAACCGATACCAGGTAAACGTACGAGTTCCTGTCGTGCATCTGCATAGGACATTTCACGTAGTTTGTCAAACCATGCCTTGCCGCCGAAATCAATGATTTTCGCGACAGTCTGAGCGATGAATTTTGCACGATAACCGAATTTGGCTTCACGCAAGTTGAGTTCCAGCTATAATGAATGTTATAAATATTATACAACAAAGAAAAATAAAATATAGTTGAGTATTGCGTATACATACCTCTTTTTGATTTTCTTCCAAAACCGCTAAGGTAGGAAAGGTAAACTCTTCCCGTTCATTAAATTTTCCAATACGTAAGCCATATTTTGAACAAAACCAGTCGATCATCGCTGAAATTCTTTAGGACAGTAAGTTATTGAAAGCAGGCGAGTATGAGCTCGATTTTTGAGTAGAAGGAGGTTTAAAAGTATGGTTCACTAGTAGATGATCAAATGTGTTAGTAAGGAAGCCAATTTTTATAACGCTTACCAGAAAATTGTATATTTTTCTAACTTTCCAGAACAATAATATTTATTTATCGAGGTTTGAATTGTTATAAATAATGAGCTAAAAAGCTTAATAATTTATAAAAACACATGGAAACAAGAAAACCGTTTTTTTAATAAAAAAAAATAGACTTAAGAAACTATTTCCATGCTTTTGGTTATTTTCGATTTGAATTAATAAATATTTAACTTTTTTGCACCCAATTTCATATAAACTTTTATTTGAATAACTGAAAATAAATTTTAGATTTAACAATATTTTTTTCGTTTTTTATTTATTTATGTAGATATTATTTATCTTGTGCAATATTTTTTATTAAACCTATATTAGTGAAAATAAAATAAATACTTTTTAACGATGCCTCAGAAGATTTATTTTTTTTTTGCACAGAAAATGCTAATGGTAAGAATCGGTGTGTAAGCTTTTAATTTAAATACATATTTCTTCATTGTTCATATAAAAATGCACAATACAATACAAAATAAATCAACTTATAGAATTTTCCCTTCCGTTTCGATTAGTTTTATCTATAATATAAAAATTAATCGCAAAATGTGTTGATAAGCGCTTAACCCAACAACGCCTGAACCAATTTGGCCAATTCTTTTTTTAAAATGTTCGTTGAAGTCCAAGGATGGTTCTTGAGGCGAGAAAAAATCGAAAGATTGCCGTGAAAACCCTAAAAACAGAACTTTTCTTTTTCACATACAAACGTTTTCTAACTAAAACGTGGAATCAATTTAAGCTTTATTGCTATTATATAAAATTCATATTAAATTACAAGCACTCACTTCACTGTTATCTAAGAAATGTAGATGTGTTCCTAACGTCAAAAAGTAAATTTGCACTTTCTTACCGCTATACAAAGTTCAAATTCAATCATATCTATCAAAACTGTGTGCGTGTGTGCGTTGGAGCACAGAATACGTCGTTAGAGGATTTAATGTCGCATTCCGAAACTAAAAAAAAAGTGATCGCGAAGCCGACCAAGTTGTTATTATTATATTTTGTGACTATTCAATTTATTATTTCTTTTGTTTACTTTCGGCAGGCGACAAAAAAAAATAAACCATTGGTATGGCTTTAAAGGATTTGACTTCAAGTCATTTCAGATTAAAAAAAAAAAAAAAAATTAAAAAAGCAACTGTCAATGTCGATTTGCCGCCTTTGCCTGTGTTGTTTTTCTTGGATTTTCTGTTATATTCTACTGAGTGTGCTTTTGTTTTGTTTGCAGTGTTTTGTTATCTACCTATGAAAAAAAGTTATTGCATGTGACACAATATTTTAATAATGGCTCCTATAAGACTAGGCAATTTAAGTAGAAGAACATGAAATGCTACAAACCAAGCTAATTACCGATCTAATCGTACTGCACATCTCCTTGAGGATTGATTCCAAGTAAATTATTTTTGCATTTCAGAATATAGCAATCCTTGGACTTCAACGAACATTTTAAAAGAAGATGTTTAAGGAAGCGTTAGTATTGATAGAGGTGTTTTATTTTCAATTAAGCATATGAGAAAAACAATATGACCATGGTAATTTAGAAATAATAATCGTGAACAGTGATTCATTACTGACAACAGAGCAAAAAATGATTTATGATCGGATTTTTAATATCGTCAATTCTTGTCAAAGTGCGGTCGCTACAGAAAATCGCATTGGCAGTTGCATCGTCAGGATATTCAACACTCAATCTGCCATTGGACATTCATAATAAATAAATAAATGAAAAATATTAGTGGAATAGCTCCAGCATTGCAGAAGAGTTCAATAATAATTGGGATGAGTGCACAATGGCTCACAAATATTCACTCAAAGAATTGTATGGAACTATGCCAGGTTTAAATGGCAATATTAAACATTTCGGTGCTGCTATCTTACTTTTGTATTGTGGTTTCCGACGGACCTAACCAGTCGCTCTACTTTCGTGAATGAGAATTTTTTACAAGCTTGAATGAAAATAATAATAAATTTTAAATTTTCCGTTAATATCAATTGTACAAAAATTTTAATCGTGTTCAAATAATTTCATTGTTTTAACGGGCGGGTTGGTTACGGTGGTAGAAAATCGGTTTAGGATTTTACAAAGGCATCTATGCAAAAAAGTATGGTGGTCCCCAAGACTGATGTTCTTCTACCGTTCCTGTTATATAATTAACTGCAATTTAATATTACAAAAATCTTAGCCTCAGCAACGCGTGACCGGGTCAGCTAGTTGGAAATAAAATTTTTTTCTTTAAACAATGTTGCAAACGCAAAATTTGTTTCTTTTTCCCAAAGAAAACTTAAAATAATAAGGCAGGTATATTAATAAAGGCACATAATAAAATTGTATTATATAATGAAGTAATGAGGTCAGTTTTTAAAAGAAAATTAACTGTTATAATGCAATCCTGACTTGTCGTTTACATTACAATGAAAATATCTCTGGTGGGCAGATAAATTAATAATTATAATTTGCTTTTGCACCCATGCTATATAGTAATTTTTTGATATAAGTATTAAGTAAACTACGAGGCCTGGTTGTTTGTATGGAATATTTGTTATACAACAAAGAAAAATGGTAGAATTGACAGCTGTTTCGGAGATCACCACATCTCCTCATTAGACTTCTTATGGCAGGGATCGAACCAACGGATCCTGACTTATCAGGCGAGTGTTCTACCACCGCGCCAACATCAGCCATATAATCTATTGTTGTATTATTCACATTTATTATTATTAACCAACAACTATTAAGTGCGCTAATTTAGCCGCTATTTTCTTAACAGCTTGGCTAGTGAGTTGTGTTGGAATCCTCTATACTTTCAGGTGTTAATTGAGTGAAAAATGTATAGGCAGGATTAAGTACCAGGTTCAACTTATATATTTACTAACAATTGAACAATAAAAATTGAAAAAGAGTAGTTGCAGTTCTAACTCTTACCTTTTAATGTGATTATTTTGACTACATATGAATGACAAAATATTTTCAAGCGGCTCTTGATCCAGCACACGCACCGCCTTCATATGTGGCGTTATAGTTGCAAAATGTTCATGTGCTGCGCGCCATTTATTTAAATTTTCGTTTAAATCAAAATCAAGACGGAAGTAACGTCGCAACAAGTCCCCATAATAGTTAGCTTTCATTTCCGGCAAATCTGGCGCAGGATAAACTTTATAGGAAATAGCCGCGGTACTTTGGCTTAGCTCCCAGTAGGCGTTGTATGCAATGCCGTGTAAGTGCGGCAATTTGGAATCAGTCGTATCGACTTTCCGCCATCTACAATAGTTAAATACAATACTTTAATATTTACTGTAAATTAAATTCACCTGCACTTACCGAAAGCTTTGTCCGCCAACTAACGAAACCTCCAGATTTACTTGGTTTGCTGGTATTGCGATTTCCCCAACAAAACAACGACCCATTTCGCAATTGAAATTACTATAATTGACCGCTTTATATTTAAAATTTAAATTAAAAAATGTATTTACAGTCTTCATACGAACCAGCTGAGCGGTATTGTTAAAACATATGGGGTATCAAGTGTTGGAAAACATTTATACTGAACTCAATTTATGTAAATTGTCATATAAAAATTTATTGCTTAAAACAAAATACTAGCAAAAATTAACCACAAAATATTTGAGAGTTGTAAAATTTAAATATCAAATAATAAGAAGCCCATTGAAAAGTTAATATCATACGTTCTTTAACATCAGTTAATGCCAGAGAACGTATAACATGTTATACGTTCTCTGGGCAGTCAGTTTGTCAAATTTTTCAATCCCATTCACAATAACTCAAAAGAAGAAGAAGCTACCGCAGTGACACTTTTTTACATTCGTTTGCAACATTCATTCGCTGATTGAGATTCATTCGGTTTGTTTAATTTATAGTGTGGTTTTTTATAGCGCACACGCAAACAACAAAAACATAAAAAAAAGTAATACTTTAGTGCGGATTACGAAAAGGTGGAGTTAAATTACATAAATTTAGTGTTGTCAAATTAAGAGTGTAAATTGAGCAAATATTATTTTCAAATGCATTCAAGTGAGACGTGTACACAAAAACATTTCTGCGTATAGAGTAAATTGGCCCTACGAGCTATATTTCTCAGTTCTGATAAGTTATTATTGTTTTAATATTAAAAAATGCAAATGTATTTTAAATTTGTATAGCCATTCCATTACATCAGCAATATTTTTTGTCTTATCGTAAATATTGTATTTTGCAAACAAGGAAGTATCAAATAGAAAAAAACGCAATAAAAAAGTGAAACAAAGAAAATACATATATAAATGTGATTTCTAGTGTGTGTGGGTTTGTGTGGAAAGAGTCAACAAGATTCATAAAAGTTAATAATTAATTATAACATATATCAATTAAATCGTTTGATATATACATATATAATAATGGAGTTTGAGAACGCCCAATTCCTTGACGCTGTAGCTGAAACATCCTCAGCGGCTGTAGCGTCTGCAACAACAACAAACATTGCGAAAGGTAAACTATTACAAATTTTAAGAATGTCTAAATACTTGTACACATTATTGTAGTTATTCGTACAAACATATGTGTAATTTGTCTAATTCTTGTTTCTTTTTTTTTTTTTCTTTGCAGATCATAATGTCGCGGAGCACATGCAATCCGGTTCCGGCCGCTTATTGGTTAATGACAATGAAACGACAACAAATACAGCAGGTACACAATCTGCAGCCAACGCTACATTGGAAGATAAACAAAACCACCCGAAAATGCAGAGGCAAACAATGTCTGATGATGAGCGAAATGCAACAAAACGATCTCTAGTCATACTGGCTGCGATCTTTACAGCCAGCTTATTCGCAATGGTCTACGTATACATGATATTTCCCGAATTGAATGAGTAAGTAATAAATATGGGTGTGTATATAAGGCGTATATGCGGCGTACGTTTGTAGAGGTTACTTGTGGATGGGGTGATCACTGATCACTTCAATGCCAATGATTATACATATTGTATATTGTTTGTTGGCGTTTTGCTTTTATATGTTTAATTTTGTCTACATATGTACCACCTTGGGCATATAAGCGCATGCATATTGTACGTACTTTATAAAAAAAAAAATATTTAAATGAAATTAAAAAAAAAGTTATGACGTTTTTGATGCTCTGCGGTTTAGCTTTCGTATTAATCACTTTCAGTTTAAACATTTAGACATATAAGAATGCTGAGAAAGTATTTTATTTATTGTTTAAAAGAGAAGCGTATACAACAATATGCCCACACAAGCATATAAATATATATATATATATAGCATATAAATATATACATATATATAGCATATAAATATATTTGACCTATTTTGCTGTTGCAGCTCATTTAATTTCTACTGGGGGGATTTATTTGTAAAGAAAGAAAAATTCTCTCTAGCTTTCTTATGGAATATATAGGTGTTATATAACATATAGTAGGTATGTAGGTATTATAAATTACTCTCTACTTTCATATTGGTAATTAATATACTTTTCAAATTTTCCTTATACGTTTTTTTTCTTCAAATTTTCAAAAGACGCAAAAGATAAGCCGCGATCTGATTGTGTTTAATCGCATACTAATAATTATTGAAAGTGAATGTTTATAAACTTTAATATATTGATATATTTTTTAACACCTGTGTAAACTAATTTTTTTAAACAAATTTATATGATTGTATGTATGATGTAAAAATGTACGTAAAGGTTGTTAAATGATAGAATAATTACACGTGTAGCTTTTTAAAGTATAAAAGATTTTAACGAATAGGTGTAATACTTCAATATTTTGCTTTAAGTTAACCAAACTGGTTCGAATGTAATACCTACATATACAATATACGTACTTAGGTAGGTATATGTATATAAAGATGAAAGTTAATAACCCCAAATAAGGAGAGCAAAATCAAATGTAAAATGAAAAATATTTTGAATTGATTTCTGGTTTTTTGTTTTATAACTGTTTTCTGTAATTTAAGCTGTTGTTCTTAATTTGCACATTGAAAGTTGAGTGCTTAGTTAAAAACTTCATCATATGACGCTCTGTCAAAAATGACTGTGAGATGTCCCATACAAATTGTATGGTCATGAGGATTTTTTTTAGTTGTTGCTTAGCGCTCAACGCACCAATTTAGGGATATCAGTTAATTAAAATTCCGATTTAAAATCCCTCCCATGAAATTTCCTTTCTCAAAAATCCTGTGCATGCACTCAACACGTGTCCCTGCTTGTTAAGGGTTCATGAATTTACCCACGGTAAAGCATGCCTGTCGTAAGAGGCGACTAAAATCCAATAGTTCCCGCGACAATCGGGTCTTTATACCGGAACGATTCGGATTTTTATCCGGCCAAGGACTGTCACTCCCTCAACATTCCCCAAAAAGTACTTTAGGGAATATTTTTGCGGTTACAACAACAACACGAGTACAAAAATTAAAGCGAATATTTGCTACAAATTTTCTGTTTTGTCATATTTTGTTAATTATTTCATGAACACACAGCTCACGTTTTCGTTCAATGCCATTTGTATTTTATTTAATTTTCCGCATTTTCAATTATTTCTTGTTTCTTATTGCATATTTTATTATAAGTCAGCTGTAAATTTAAAATGACATTAGCAAGTGTGCATGCAAAATGTACAAACTATTTGTATATGTATGTATGAGTATGTTTGTTCAAATATTAAATATGAAATATACCTACATACATATATAATTTATATTTTCACGGTGTCATTTGGCCGGCGACAAGTGGATAAATACAATACTTGCGATATATTTGTAGTATGTATGGAAATATATGTGTATGTACATACATATTGCTTCTATTTGCTTTCTTGTGTTTGCTCAGCACTCGTCTGGTGTAGAATTTTCCAATTCTCTTTTTTCATGTTTTGTCACATGCTAAATATGTATACATTATATATTAGTTCTGAGGTATGCTCTGCCCATTAGCTCTTTATATATATGTACATGCATACATGGTACTGTATATTTATATTTATTTATACATATTTTTATATGATTTTTTTTCTTTTTACAGATCGGAAAAAGCGCATATTAAAATACCCCGTGATATTCAAGATGCTAAAATGTTAGCCAAGGTTTTGGATCGTTACAAGGACATGTATTATTTTGAAGTGATGTTTGGCGTCATCACAGCCTATGTATTGTATCCTTTTTCAAACAAAAAAACAGAAAGAAAAAACTAACGGGTTTATGGAAAATAGTACATAAATAGTACCTTGTAGGTTTACTTTTATGTATCAGTGTAGTAAAGTAATCTGCCAAACTGCTAAGGTTAATTTGTATATCGTTTATTTGCTTGATCTCGTTATCTGGTCCCAAATAGTTTTGTTTGCGCGTCTGATTGCCTTGCGTGTATTTCTAATACAAACACATTACTTTGTCGCGAAGAGTCGAGTGTACTTTGAAACTCGTGCGTATTTTTATTGGGCAATCACTCCCTTGAGGCAAAGAGAATTGAGAGAACACAAGAAATAAGAGCTGTATTCGGCCAGGCCGAAGTGTGTATACCTTTCATTGAACATATGAAATTTATGACATTCATTTTGGGATTAAATATTAGTTCTCATATTTGAAAAAAGTCGGTTGAATGGGAGCTACATGTTACAGGCGTCCGATTGCGACGACTTTCGGTATCAATATCTATTTTTGAATCATGCTCTTAGTTGCTTTTTGGACGGGTTTTAGGTCTAAAATCTCATATCAGCACAAATTCATTGCAGAGGGGCTAATGTTATAGTCGTCCGATTCCGATGACTTTCGTTTTTCGACAAAAATTATTTCTACATAAAAGTGCAGAATTCAAAAATTTCATTCTTTTAAAAGCAATTCGTACAGATTTATGACCCAAAATCTTAAATCTGTAAAAAAAAGCGGCAATATATATGCAACCGTGGTCCGAACTGACCGGCTCCGAGAAATGATCGTTTAAATGTAAAAATACATATGTGAAGCAAAAGTGTTTGAAATATCTCAAAAACTTCCATACATGTTGTTGTAGCCGACAAAATGTTGTGAGTGACAGTCCTTGGCCGAAAAAAAAATTTCGGATCGTTCCGGTATAAAGACCCGATTGTCGCGAGAACTTTTGGATTTTAGTCGAATCTTACAACAGGTATGCTGCCTTACCGTCAGGAAACGGGCGCGTATAAATCAACTTAGCTTGCCAGTCTACTTATAAATTTGGATGAGCCTTTAACTTCACCTTCTGGTATTACAAACTTTATTTTCTGCCAATTAGAGACTTGTCAAATTAGCCGTGATAAGATATGCTTGCAGCAAAAAGTATCCAAAAATGCAATAGTTAACGCTGCTGGTGGATCCTTATGCCGGAAGGAGCAAGTTTGTAATCGGCTGAGTGCTATCACTACCGCTAGAATCTTCCTGTAATAATTTCACGTATACTTTCCGATTACAACAACAACTAAAACAGTGGAACTATTCCTTTTTTTCAGAAGCTTCTTTTATATGAACTAAAAAGTAATGAAATACCGAAGGAGTTAAAAATTTACAAATTTTTTCGTTGCTAAATAAAAATTTTTTATTTTTTTTTGGAAAAAAAATTTATTTTTTGGGAAAAAAATTTATTTTTTGGAAAAAAAACTCTTATTTTGAAAAAAAATTATCAAATTGCTGAAAATTATTTTGAATAATACTTTTGTCCAAATTTTTTTAATTCAATTAGAAGATAAATTAATGCTGAAGCTACAATAGATCACTTTGATTTTTTTTCAATCGGAAATACATACATATATACAATTGTACCTGGTGTGACAGTAAAATAGTGCCGCGATTGTGGCAACCCTGTGATCTCGAAATTTCCTTTTCCTTCTCCCGGCCTCCTTCTCATCTCTATTGATATATTTGCCATCGCTATAACTTGTTTAGTTCGCTACTGTGTCGTGTTGATTGAACGTGCGTTCGTGGTGCTCGTCACGAAAATTGAAAAACGAAATCATGATCGGGCGAAACAGCTTCGAAAACATACACTCAAATTGTAAATGAGGTGCCGGTTTTTTCAATACCAACCAAAACCAACTAAACACCAAAGATCACATTGGTTGTATCCGCACGCCCCCGCCCGAAGTCGAAGGTGAAAACGATGATTATTGCCTTTTTTGCTAGCCGTGGAATCATCCACCAAGAATTTCTTAAACCGTGGCAAATCGTAAATCAAGTCTACTATCGCCAAGTACTCGAAAAATTGCGAGAGCGAGTCAACAGGATGCGCCCAGACCTCGCTCGTAACTGAATTTTTCGTATTAGTTTAGGAAAAATTGAGTAAAATGCACTCGAGCCTCTTTTCGGGCCTCATTTTAAATTCATGGTATCCACCGAGCAGATTTCTTCGTGTATCCCAAATGATTACTTAATATTATGCATACAGCCATGGCATTCAAGCCCAATTCATTAGCAATCATTTCTTGTATCAATCGTGGGTCTTTGTCAATTTGGGACCAGAGCTGCAGTGACGTCATCAGTGAAAAATTTTGGTCGACCTTCTCGGTGCTTGTCCTCTTCGGAACCACTTAACAATTGTCTTTAAAGTCAGTGCTATAATTCCATATGCAATTTGGCATTCACTGAATCTTTGTCTTGACTGTAAATTGCGCCGAAACCCGAAGAAAATCGCCTGCTGAATTTCGGTTTATGTTAGTGGTGGAATTTCGTGCGACCTATCCCCAGCTGTCTTGCGTTTTCCCATCTCCATTTTAGCCGTTTGTACCAAAACTTGAAATGAAGGCTAATAAAGTAATGGCAAATGATTTGGTATTTTTCAATTTAACAAAAACAAATTGAAAATCACCAACTGACCGAACTTTTGTTGATCGCCTCGTACATGCGCTGGTTATAGCCACGCACATTATTTAAGAAAAGTAAACCATAACAGTTGAATTATGTCTACTTTTCTTTCTTCGCTGTCTTCGATGAGCTACCGCAGTGCAAAGCGACAGAGGCCAGTAAACCGTGCCTTTACGTGTCGTACACGCTAGCACTAGCTAAGCACTAGCACTAGCCAGTTAGCGAACCAAAAGCAATAGCCTTGACCCAATTTCTATTTTAGCAGACACGTCGTTGTCATTGTGGTCGTCAACAACATCTACATATTTCTCTCTATTCGTTATGCGTGTCTTTTTGTTGGTTGGTTTGTGTAAGACTATCTCTGGTAAAGACACGCTTTTACCTTTGTTGAAAATTTCATTTTTCTTTTCAAAACACTTTCTTCTTTAAAACAAAAACCCCGCCACTGAAATTGTAACTCCACAACGGCAGACTTTCGAATATAACATAGCAGAGAGCAAGCGAACGCTTAATAGCGGCGTTTATTAGTGTGCGCAGGCGTAGAGTATTAACTTTGTTGACATGAAAATGAGTAAAGACATAAATTGAAAAATCTCCAATGACATAATTGATAAGCTAAAATAATCAAAATAAAAATAAAAACACAATACACCTTTGATCTTCATAAAATTTGCTGCCTTCAGTAGAGGAGTTGTGCTCCAGGCAAATTTCGGCTTCACAGTTTCTGAACAAAAATATGATTTCGCTAGCAAATGCTCTAGAGGATTGAAGGCTTTGTCTGGCACTGGTGAAGTGTTTTTACGTGTTTCTTTTGGTTTTTCTGTCTTATGAACATTTCTAATGAAATTTTCAAAGCGTCCAATGGTTATGGAAATTAATTTTGAAATTGGTGTAAACAGTACTCGAGCCCTGGCCTTCCGAACGTAGTACGCAAGGCTAAACACTCAGCTATTGTGATGGGTTCTAGAGTCCTACAAATAATGGCGGACATATGACCTAACTCCCATCTATCAAACCTTATATTTTTGACCGACTTCTGAACGGTTTAGTAACCAAGACACGATTCTACATATAATTTGTGAATGTTTTTGTTGTTTTAGCTGCTATCCAACACCGTTTCTGAAGCAAGCGAGGCTAGTTTGAGTCATCCAGATCAATTAATGCAAGTTCAAGGAATCGTGCTGTTCGGACGAGTTCGTACCAGAGGGAAAGGGGGCTTAGAAAAGTAGGTATTGAGGGGCGTGCAAAGTGTTGGTTAGTGTCGTGCGTGGTTCCAATGCATGCAGAACATATATATATATATATATACCTTAGGTATGTCGAGGTCATGTCTGCATAGGTAGGAATCAAGTCGACGACAATATCCATGTATTCCTTGTGCCAGTACTACTTGGGTCTTTCGAGGCAGCTTGAGCTTTTCAACTTCACTGGGTGGAGAGAGAGAGAGTTCACGTAGGTGTTGATGGACGCGCTTGTCGATCTGTCATTTTGATAGTTTTGAAATGAACGAAACAGCCGTCTAAAATAGCTTGCGCGCTTCTTCGGGTTCGGCAAGGCACGGTCACCCGACCATCGCGTCTCGTAGTATTTAAAGATTCGAATATTGTTTTGCCAAAGCAAAGGTTGCAAGACCTTTAGTGTTCCTCCTACTATTACTTTTTATATTTCCGGAACTAACGATGATCGCATTAAATGGAAAATGACTGATATTGGTCCAGAAATAGACTCATCTCTCATATATCTAAGAGACTCTGCACTCAATATAAATATCAGCCGAATATCTAATGGTCGACTCCACCCAAAATTCGTCTTCCTTTTGTTTTTTAAAAACTTATTTTCACACCCTTCCTAACTGAGCCCATATGCCCAGCCAAAATTAAATAAGCTCCGCACATGAAAGGCGTAAAAACAATTGGACATTCTTGTCATATTCGTATGCTTCTCCCTTCTTCGATATTACAACATGAAAACTGCATTTTTGTTGTACACTCACGACAGTCCGTTCTACGTGACCCTACAACAGCCTAACCCCGTCGGTAACCGCTTGGGAAAGGGATCAACGACAAAATAACAAGTGTCAATGCCGTGACTTGCACATATATTTCTTTTCAATTATCAAGTTTTAATTGCCTGTACATACATACTTACATATGTATGTATGTAGATTAGATTAGCTCTCAGGAATGTATAGTTAAATGTCTTACATTTTGATTGGCATGGGAATTCGAAAATGAATAATTTTATTGAAGTAATTTTCACAGAGCAGTTTACGCTTAGTTTCAGTAGGTGGCAAGAGGTTTACATACAAATATAGCCGTTAACTGAAATGAATTTTAATGTATTGTAAAATAATTATTTCCCATAATTGTCAAAAACTAAGGGAAATTCTAGTGCCAGATGAGTATTGGGTTGCCCCAAAAGAAATCGGCGATTTTTCATACAGATGGCGCTGACAGCTTTTTTTTTTTGTACAGCTTGTGACTATTTAGTTGTATTTTTTCTACGAGGTGTGCCCAAAAAATATCGAGAAATTTGTGTTTTTTCAAAAATTATTTATTTATTCATGAATATCTATTTTGTCCCCTTCAAAGTTATCCCCATGAGATATTATACACTTGTTCAGTTCCTCCTTCGATGCCGTCTTTATCTCGTCAATCGTAGCGTAACGTCGTCCTTTCATGGGCCTCTTCAGTTTAGGGAACAAGAAAAAGTCACAGGGGGCCAGATCTGAGGAATATGGTGGCTGCGGCATCATTAGTGTGTTGTTTTTGGCCAAAAAGTCGCGCACAAGCGACGATGTGTCGGCAGGGGCGTTATCGTAGTGCAAAAACCAATTTTTGTTCTTCCACACATCCGTGCGTTTCTGGCGGATTGCTTCGCGCAAATTGCACATAACTTGCAGGTAATATTCCTTATTGACCGTTCTACCCTGTGGCAAGAACTCATGATGCACCACGTCCCTTCAATTAATTTTTTCGTCTGTTGTTGAAGTGCTCGGGCATCCGACAGGCTCTGCGTCGTTCACATATTCTCGGCCTTCTAAGAACATTTTGTACCACCGATAAACGTTGCTTCGGTCCAAGGTAGCTTCTCCGTATGACACAGTCAACATTCGGAATGCATCCGCGCACTTAATTTCGTTTTTCACACAAAATTTGATACAGGCTCTTTGATTAATTTTTTGAATAGGTAAAAATCGAAGACCATCCAAAACACGTGCAAGCAAAGCAGCTGTCAACAATTAAGTGAACATTCAAAATGGCCGAACTTGTCGGCATAAGTGACAGACATGAGTACCAACATAACGCCACAAAAAATCAAATTTCGATTATACGCACCCCCCGAAAGTTCAAAATTCGCGACACCTTTTGAACACACCTCGTATTGACAGTTATAAGCTGTCACTTTTAGTTTGATTAGAAAAAAGTGCGCGTAATTTTATTTGTATTTGTTTGTTTGGCGTCAATTTTAATGTGGAGCTCACAAAAGAACATTTTCGCCATATTTTACTTTATTATTTCCTTAAAGGAAAAAATGCAGCGCAGGTTGCTAAAAAGTTGCATAATTTGTATGGGGATAAGGCCTTAAAAGAAACGCAGTGTCGAAGTTGGTTTGTCAAATTCCGTTCGGGAGATTTTGCACTCAAAGATAAGTCACGCTCAGGTCGGTCAAGTGAAGTTGATGATGACGATATGAAGGCTTTAATCCGATTCGATTCGTCATGTAACTGAGCATGAGACTGGACAGAAGTTAAGTATACCAAAATCAACCGTTCATAATCATATACAACTTTTTGGACTGGTAAAAAAAAGTTGGTTTTTGGGTAACACATGAATTGGAAGAAATTCATGTAACAAGCTGCGTCAACGCTTGTGATATGCATCTTAAACGCAATGAATATGATCCGATGGAGATGAAAAATGGATAGTCTACAATAACGTTCAAGCATGAGGAAGCGCCACAAACCACTTCAAAGGCTGATATACACTAAAAGAAGTTTATGCTGTCAGCTTGGTGGAGCTTGGAAGGATGTGGTATTTTTTGAACTGCTTCCAAGGAATCAAACGATTAATTCGGTTGTCTACTGTTAACAACTGGACTAATTAAATAAAGGGTGATTTTTTAAGAGCTATAGGGAAGTTTTAAAGAAAAAACCGTAAAATTCAGAAAAATGCATCAAATCTTTATTTGAATCGATCGCTCCATATAATTTAATGTTTGAAGATTATTTCAAGCAAATGTTGACCGTGACTGCGCCGTCCAACATTTCAGCCTGTATCTCATGAATAAATGCTTCAATGTTGTCCACCAATGCGTCAATTGAAGCGGACTTGTCTGTATAGACATTAGATTTCACATAGCCCCACGAAAAAAGGCGTTAAATCGCATGATCTTGGCCCGTCCCGAACGTGAAATAAAATGTTCACCGAACTCGCCTCTCAATAAGTCCAAATGCTACGTGTGCTCTGTGGCATGTGGCACCGTCTGGTTGAAACCACAAGTGATGCAAGTCAAGCTCACGCATTTTGGGTCAAAAGAAATTTTCGCATCATCTTTGAAGAAGTACGGTCCTATGATGCCAGCAGCCCATTAGCAGCACCAAACTGTGAAATTTGTCTAGATGCATTGGTAGCTCTTGCCATGCTTCTGTCTGATCTTCACTCCATTGGACATTCCGTGCCGAGGGGCGACAGCAATTAGAAAATTTAACTTTTTTTTTTAAATTAATTTTCCATAACTTTGGATGTGATTGTACTTGGCTGGGTAAAAATCCGAATCGTTCCGATATCGGGATCCGACTGTGGTGGGTGCAAATGGATTTCAGTCGCCACTTACAAACAGGCATGACTGTGGTTTTTTATGAGAAGCTTTTTATGTCATGTCATAAATATACTTGGAGGGGGCTTGGCTTTCTCTGCCGGGGTGACGACTGTAATTAAAGATATTAATTTTATATTTAGATGTTGGCCGAACGAGAATTCTTGAATACGTGAAATGAACTTTATAGCATAAAACCGTTATTTACTTAAGATTTTCAAGATTAAATTTTTTTTGTTATCCGACTTACATAAATGTACATATGTATACATATATAATATATCAACACTGTTTTCCTTAATTAATTTTCTTTACACACTTCGCCAACACCACAGCCTACAAACATTCGCCATTCCAGGTTCACTATTTCTCTCCATTCTACTCGGATTCCTCTACAAATTCCCCATCGCACTCTTTCTCATCTGCTTCTGTTCATCATTGGGCGCCACACTCTGCTACAGTCTCTCGAATTTGGTTGGCCGACGTTTGATACGTCATTTTTGGCCTAAGAAAACGAATGAATGGTCCAAGCATGTGGAGAAACATCGTGATAGTCTCTTCAATTATATGCTATTCCTACGCATGACACCCATACTACCGAATTGGTTCATCAACTTGGCATCGCCGGTGATTGGTGTGCCCGTGTATACGTTTGCTGTGGGCACCTTTTTCGGTGTGGCACCACCATCGATTGTAGCCATACAAGCAGGTAAGACATTACAAAAGATGACCAGCTCTAGTGATGCATTCTCCTGGACATCAATGGCTTTACTATCGGCATGCGCATTGGTCTCACTATTACCGGGTCTATTGAAGAACAAACTGAAAAAGAAGCTGGAGTAAAAGGGGATAATGTGTGCAATATTATATTTGATTTTTGTCGAGTATACAGGGTTTTCGGGAAAGTTTCGAGAGCTTGGAGGAGGCTCTGTTTTGCCAATCATCGACGATGAAATGATGGCAATTGGACAGGTTTTAGGCGTTTAGTTTGTATTATTATTAGTTGATTCCTGGCGATTGAATGGCTTATATATTATATAAGTATGTTTATAAATTGAGAAAAATAATGCAATTATGTATGTATGTATGTATGTATGTACATATATGTAGCAAGGTATACATATTTATGTACAATTATAAATATTTGCCTAATGTTTATATGTATGTATGTATGTATAATTCAGTATAGACTTTGCTAACATATATGTATGTATGTATGTATGCATTAACGATTTGTATTTAGATTCACACAAGTGCATACATAAATCTGCTATACCTAAATGAAATGCATAATTTATAGTTTTTTGTTTAATACATATGTATGTATGTATGTATGTATGTATGTATGTATGTATGTATGTATGTATGTAGGTTTGTATAGTTATTATTCCAATAAAATTTAAGTTGCTAAATAATGTAAGTTAGTTCGAATTAAATTTATTTATTAGCCAACTCTAGCACATACACATACATATACATAAATACATATTAAATAGTTTTGCAGTATTCCAAATATTTATTTATATTGTAAACTTATTTCTTTTCTTTCCATACATATGCACATATGTATCATACATATAAATATCTCAATTGCTCTTATACACACACATGTATGCATTATATATACAAACATACAAACATATGCTAACGCTATGCTTAGAAACTCTTTCCATAATGTGCCGTGTTTCCTTTCGCGCTAAAATTAGAAAAAAACATTCTATATAACGGTTTGTCCTTAAGTGTAATATTTTTCAAATATCCACAAATTTTTTTTTTCTTATTTTTTATTTAAAGCGCCTTTTTCAAAAAATTGTTTGCAATATCTTAAAGAAAAAAAAAACTTATCAAAGGTGATTTTATATAATTAAGTTTAAGATAAAATCGACTAAGTACACTTTTTACAATTTTGAAGTTGCCATAAGTGCATCGAGCTGAGTTTATCCTACGAATATGAAAATAAAAATTTTAATTACGTTTTATAGAGCTCCAAAGTAGAAGTTGCTTGGTTTTTACGGTGGAAAAAAATTAAAAATGTTTAATAAATTCCAATTTGTCACATTTTAGATGCCGTAAACATTTTGTATACCTTAAAATTTATAATTTCGTAGTATATATATGAAGTATAAATGTATGCATGTATGTATGTACCTATTTCGCTAACCATAAATAACATTATTCAAGGTAGAAAATATATGTATAATGAAAAAAAAAAATAGGAATCAAAAAAAAAATTAAATAGCATACTTTTACCTTAAAAATAATGAATTTGTAATGTGATTACCAATCATAATTTCCAATAAATGTCTCGGCTCAACGCTTGAGTAAATGAAAAAAAAAAAATATTTTATTTTATTTTATAATAAAAAAATATTTTCCTAGCCACTAATACATATATAAAATATAAATTATAAATAAAGCTGCTCAAATGTAGTACTTGTGTGTTTTGAGATGTTTTAAATAAATATTTATAAGAAGAAGAACAACTTGGAAATTCAATTTTGGTAGCCGCGCTGTGCGTAGAAACGAGAAATACTAACTTTTCATAGTAACCACAGATGAAAGCTGAGTCAACGGTACCACAGCTGTGCACACATAATTACATATAAAAAAAGTACCGTTTTTTTCGGGCAAGAAATGCAAAAGCAAATTCTGTTTAAATACGAAAATGCGATAATTCCCCTTCACATTTATCGTAAAACACCATTGCCGGTTATGAGCACTGGGCCAACAATGCCCTTATAGGTACTATACGAAGACATTTATAACAGAAAAAGAGTTTTTAAAGAATCAAAAAATTAACGCCTCTATTTTATATCATCAAATTATAGTAACATTAATGCTTGAAAGTGAAGAATTAGCCCTCGCTGAGCCCATCGAGAGTAGAGGCATCTTTTTTAAACGAAGAGAGGCGTTAAAGGCGACTAAAATCCAAAGGTGCCCGCAACACTACGACCTGATTTTATATCCGGCCAAGGACTGTAACTCCCGCAACATTCCCTAAAAACTACTTTGGCGAAAATTTTTGGGGCTACAACAGGGTGGTGAGGGGAAAAGAAAAAGACAAATTACAAATTACGCATAAAAAATATGTATGTTTGCTTTTATTATTTATACTTTGAACTTAAATTAATAAGTATATATTCAATGTACTATAGTTTAATAAGAAATAATAATAATACAAATATGGTGCGATATAGTTAAATGAAATATGGAAGTATATATATTTTATATAAATATTTATTTATTTTTATTTTTTCATTCTTTGTGTGTTCTCGTATGTTGGCGCTAATAATCTAATAATAAAGTCAATTTGATTGCTTAATTATACATATGTAATGTGGAATGTTCGCTTTCCATATCTACTAATGATGTTTTGAGATCTTTTCTAAGCATACATATATTCATTTCGAATGTAGAGGCAATTAATATAGTTGAAAATGACTTTAGACAAGCGCAACAGCCAACCAACATACTCTTTGGAAATTTTACGTGCAATAATGAATCCATGCAATATTAAATTAATATAATAAATAATATAAAATATATTTTTGACAATGAGAAGTTTTCTTGTTTTTGTATATAAATTAGCGTTAGTATGTGAGCATTTGTAAAAATGACCAGTTGCCGCTTGAAGCTGCCAAGGAAACTTTGTTTTATCTTTGCTTTCTTTTTTTTTTTTTGTCTGGCATTCGTAATCATTTTTCCATTTAATGCCAATGTCGTTGATATAGTTGTTATTGGTAAATTGGTACTAAATCCATCCAACTCGTAAGTGTTTTCACCCAACTATTCCGATGGCGTAAGATCTTTTTCCGGTTCATTTTCATTTAGAATTTGTGAGAGTAAATCGTGAACTGGTTCAAATGCTTTTTTCGCGCCGCTATTTGTCAAATTCTTATAGTCAAACATATCATGATGACTTATAGTATTGTCTGTTTGTAGTAGACCTTTACCTATACAAACTGTTTGCACCTGATTCAGACCGATGGTTTTTTCTTTTACAATTTGATTAACTTTTTCATTTTTCTCTCTCAATTTATTGGGTAGTTGACCGCGAGGCAGCAATGTCTGAAATTATAAATAATTTTAGTAATATGATAGTTAAGAATACATGGAAATCTTACTGGTAATACGATATAGGTGTCCGGCAACTTCGATCGTATTCTATGCACAATTTCTACTATACCTTCTGCTATCTGCTCGGCACTATTTTCGGTGTTATTTGTGCCGACATGCAAAACGACAATCTGAGTTTTGAAATAAAATAAAGTAATAATGTTAAAAATGTATATATGTATATATCCATATCAGGTAATGGAATGTCCTAAGCGTTTTATTTAATTTTTTCTTTGGGATAGCTTTTACTATAAATTTGATTTTGATTATATTTAACAACATACATATGTTTAAATTATTGCATTTAAATTTTCCTGTTGTTTAATAAAGCTTTTAATATATTCAACTTTCTCTCTTGAATTTGAATCACTCACCTTCGGTTTAACATTATCCAGCTCGCCGTTTTCCACTCGCCACAGCACATTTTCCGTTCGATCGCCACGAATACTGAAGTTAAGGCAATGCAACGGTGCAAAATATTGATTCCATGTCTCAGAATCTTGTAGTGTTTCTAATACACAATCTCCTAAAAATATAACATCAGGATCCTTTTCACGGCATTCCGAAAGGAAACGGCGATGAATACTGCATTTATACGTAGGATATAAAAGAAAAGATTAAAACCAAAAACAAAATTGTACACTTCAATAAGCAAGCGGGGTGGTTTAATCAAATTGGAAACTTATTAATATACCAAATCCAGCGTTCGTCGCCATCTACATCCGGACGTTGGGTGGGCACTGCACAAGGGTTCATAATTTAGTTATTACTAAAGGAAAATATTCCGCTCTACTTGAAAATGAATGAATTTAAACAGAAAACCTTTGTGTTGTTTTTTGTTTAATTTTTACGAAATTTCCCGGTTATTAATTATTACTATTTCGACAATTTTACAAAAAAAGAAATTTCGCAGACTATTGTCTGACGTTTCTTTAATGCCTCTTCACTTTCTATGAATGATTCACAATAGACATCTAGGTTTTGTTGCAAATTAGGGGTAGGAAATTTTTGCTAAAAATTTCACGAAACCAATTTTAATGACATATATCGATATTTGTATAATCAAAAAATAGGATCCTTCCGGTATTTTCTCCGTATCTTCAAAACAAATATAGAAAGAAGAAAATATAGCAACTTTATATAATACACTATCGTTATTAAGTTATAATTAAATATTTTTTTTTTATTTATTTATGCATGTATGTATATCTATATTTTTATATCCATGAACCGATTTTTGAATTAAGCATTGTTGCTAATCAACGGGCCTTGAGCCCATATATAATACATTATTCCCTATACAAACCTCTTTATATGTGCCAAGTCATAAAGTTCCAGTAAAAAATAACTAATTAATTTTTTTGTGAATTAATAAATATTACAAAATTAATATCGAGTTAGCCATTGTGTGTGTGTGTACATATGTGTGTAATTCGTCGTACATAAATAATTATTGATGTTTTCTACGTTTCGTTGCCTGCATTGCATATTTAAGAAGTATATACATATGTATTAAATATATATACATAGACATTTATGTATGCTTTAAGTAATAAATATCTTTCGTTAGATAATAACAATATTTGTAAAGAAAAAGTTACTACTATTGCCTGCAATGGATATTCAAATTAGTTACTGCTCTGTGAGCTACTGTAGCACAGATAAGTCTGACTATTTTGCTCATTAATTACAGATTCGCGCTTCGCTGCTTGTTCTCCAAAACTATCGCCAGCATCCTGATAGGACTCAATCTCGTCAGCTCCTTCCATGGTCTTATATAAATCTTCTTCTGTATGTGACTGTTTATGTACGCCGAGATCTTCAATAGAAAAGAATCCACGACTACAGGCATTACATATATGTGGCTTGTCACTTTGATGGCGCTTTTCGTGATCCAAAAGATTCCTTCTCGTAATAAAACGTTGTGAGCAAAAAGAGCAAACATGTTTTCGTAAATTTTTATCATGACTTTTCATATGGGACTTTAGACCTTCAACTTGAGCATAACGTTTATTACATAGCTCACAATTGAATGGTCGTTCACCAGTATGCAAGCGTTCGTGGCAAACTTGTGAATTGCGTGTACCAAAACGTTTTGGACAGAAGCTACAAGGAAATCGACGTTGGCCCTCATGAACGACACGTACATGTCTTGAAATGGCGTTTTTATGATTAAATTCTTGTGGACATATAGTACACTTGAACTTCTCCACATTCGGTTTATGTATACGCATATGGGTGAGCAATTCCGTACGTGTTACCTTAGCAACACCGCATTCTTTACAAACATGATCCTTAATTTGCGCATGACGTTTCAAATGCTCAGAAAGTGCACGTTTTGAACTGTATTTCTTGAAGCAATGCTGACAGATATTATTTATCTCTATCTCTTCATTAAGTTGGCTTTGATGAAATTCCAGCATATCTTGAAGTCCATATGAGAACGAAGCTGAATTATAAAATGAGAAAGAATTACTTTTTCAATGTAAAAGCCAGAACGAGAGTTACTTACAAGTATGTACGACTTGTCGATGTGTCTCCAAAGTATTGCTCAATTTAAATACAGCATCACAACCGTTTAAACCACATATAAAACTTTGTTTTATTAAATGCTTTGATTGTATATGCGTGTGTAATTGTTCGTAGCGTGTGAAATCTTTCTGACATTCCAAACAAAGAAATGGTTTCTCATGCCCTTCATGTACCGCACGTATATGTGCGTCCAGGTACACTTTTTTATACACTTGTTTGTCACAACGCGGACATTTTAATGATTTCTTATTCCGATCCCGTTTGCGTGACATTCCACAAAAACGTTGTCGCCCCCCTACAGTTACTGGTGAATTGCTTGAAGTATTAGCGGCACCATTCCTTAAAGCATGCTCCTCATCATCCGCATCATCGCTAAGTGAGTTTTTGGAACTGCTTAGGGCGTTGTTTTCATAGAAGCGAGAACTATCTTCCTCTTCATATTCGGAATCAATTTCATGCTTTATAAACGCATTGGATGAATTTTCAGAAATTTCATCGTTCGGCAATATTACTTCAGTAGAAATTGCTTCCGCTTTCGGTTCGGTTTTAATTGGAATCTCCATTAAAGGTGCTAGCTCGGGTAATAACTAAAGAGATAAGAATATATATGAGAAATATAATATGTATAGAAGGTTATCATCTTACAAGTTGGTCATCGTCATCTTCCATACTTTGATAACTGCTTTCATAAGTATAACTTTCCATTTTTATTTCCGTTATATTCGCAGTTGATATATTTATTGACGTCTCACCAGCAACTTTAGTCATTTCGTCGTCCAAGCTATTTACTATTTTATATAAAACTTCTGCTGAATTAATTGCTAAATTACGGAACTCCTGGAAATCTATCATTTTGTCGTAGCACAACTGACACAGACTACGTGGATAAACGTCGTCTTCACTATCCTCCGATATGTCCAGAGAGGTAAATAGAGCAAACAGTTTTCGTAATTGCGGCATTAACCGAAGATTATAACTTTGATTAGATTCCGTATCAGTTTGAGTGTCCTCATCGTTAACCTTCAACATAGCACAGCTATTAGGTGTCAATTCTCTCTCACGCTTACGTCGCTTTTGCAGACTACTTAAGCAGGTCCGACAAAATTCCTGGATATTATTCCGTGAGAGCTGGCTCATTATTTTCCTTACTATTTTCCACAAACTCAAAATATATTATTTTCTTATTTTTATGTGAAACTTAATTTTTATCAATACAAAATAATCGATTCCGATTGAATGATGTGTCTTGAATAAATTTTATTGTATGACATATTTCAGTGTTGTAAAATAATTGTATCAGCCGTCAAATTCACGTCTAATATATACCAGATTAAAGCTAATATGCTAATATTTGTCGATTTGAAGTTATTTGAAAAATTTTAGTTATAATTTTTATTGGAACACTTTAATTTTTAGGAATATCTAAATAATTGTTACAGGCGGAGCTTTGTTTTAAAATACAGTGTTGGGCAGTGTTCGTTAGCCAAATATAGGAAAATATATGCGATGTAATCAATAACAGCTGATTTCATACAAAACAAATTTTTCGCAGCTGATAGGAAAGGAAAAGGAAAGTTTCTGTTTATTTATTTTAGAAATAATCGTTATTTTTTTTTTAAATAAATTGTACGAAATAAATTTATTCACACGAAGTTACATAAAAGTACTATGCTAATTATAATAACGGTATCAACTAGTATTGCTACACGCACTTGTTAATTGCATATTTGTTTCACATGTTTCAGCAGTACTATTCTTTACAGCAAGTACTTCCGTACTGGCCTGCTTTCTTGGCCCACGTGAGTTATCTCTACTATGTGTTTTCAAGTGCGTACGTAATGCAACAACCTGAATAAAACGTTTACCACATAACTCACAACCATGGGGCTTTTCTCCTGTGTGCCGCATTTCGTGGTGTTTTAAAGTATCCGCTTTACCAAAGCTCTGTTCACAATACCTACAGGAGAATCGTCTTATGCCCTTATGTACTATCCGGTCATGCATCCCAAGATTTGCTGAGCTGTTAAAAATGCTTGGACATTTCGGACAAGGCCATTGTTTCTCTTTCGTATGATAGTTAAGGTGTGTGCGTAATTCTCTTTTGGACACTTTCTTCATGCCACAATATGGACAAATGAAGTTTTTTATACCGGAATGACGTATTTTATGTTCGTTATAAGATCGTTTCGAGCGATATCGTTTTCCACACTCTTCACATTTGAATGGATGCTCTTCCACTGGTGCATGTTTGTAGCGATGCTCTTTAAATGTAGTCGCATTTTTGAATGTACTGCCACAGTCCTCACAAACATATATTTTAGGTTCAGACTTTGTATACTCCTTTGAATGCTTATGGCGATAATGAGCTGTGTAGGTATCTCTTCGGTTAAATATTTTACCGCACCCTTCAAAGGAGCAAACAAATTGCAGTTTCACAGCAGCGTGAGCTTCACGCATGTGTGAACGAAAATTACTTGCTCTATTAAAATCGCGATTGCATTCATTACAAACGTATGGCTTGAGTCCTTGATGTGTGCGTAAATGCGCTTCAAAATTTTCCTTTGTGACACATCGACGTGGACATTGCTCACACTGGAATAACGGACCACAATCGTCTGTAGTTTTTACTTTCGTCTTTGATTTTTTCAGCCCTTTCGGAGTCTTTGTACTCTTTTTATTTTTGTTTTGAGACGAATTTTTTGTTGATAATAAAATTGATGTACCTCCGTTACTTAAGTCAGCATCACTTTCAAGTGTCTTGGCATGTATATCTAATGCTTGAACAGCAATATCAACATTTTGTAATCTATCGGCTTCATCGTGTGTACAGGAATCTGTTCTCAAAAAAGTGACTTCATCTGAGGTATCTTCACAGTCGGAATATATGTTTTCGTCTGTTTTAATATCCTTTATATCAATTTCTGCTTCTTCACCAACAAATATTTCATTTTTGAACACCTCTTTCGTCGTTTTTATCGGGCTCGTGGGCTCTTGCATAATTTTTACCACCTATAACAACAAAACAAGAATTAATAAGTCTTTCATTTTGATAAAAAAAAAGTATTACAAACCGTATTTTCAATAGTGTTTTGAAGTTTCTCTCGGCTTCTTGTTGAATATTTATAGCTTTCATATTCTATTTTAGGCGTGCGAACACTAATATCTAGTTGCTCTACACTGCCTTGACCGCTATCGAGCAGAGTAATATTAACTCCAGAAGAATCGTCACAATCTTTTAATATGTTGGCCAAAAAGGTAAATGACTGCAAAGCTTTACAACGGAATTCGTGTAAGGACTCTAATTTTATATGACAAATCTTGCAAATGAACTGAGGTAAATCATCAGAATCTTCCACAATTGTTGGTGGAGGGCATAATGTTATGAGCTTTTCGTTATCTCCATTCTCATATATGTTATATTTCTCACCAAGCAGCACTGATTTCTCGCCCAATTCGTCAAGACATATCCGGCAAAAGGATTGCATATTCTTATGTGTTATTTCTCGCATTCTGACACACAATTTTTTACAAATAAAATTTATATCTAATAAATATGTTAAGATTTATTTAACACTATTTATTAATTAAAATAAAAAATTTCGTTCGTTTTTTCAACAAAATAGCGGATGATTGATTAAAAAAATTAACAAATATTTTGACAGATAAAAATACACAGAGTTGCTTTAGAGGAATGCCAGATATTCTTTATTATTCGTTAATTGTGTAAGCACAAAACAAACTGCCAGACAAAGTAAAAGAACATTATTGAATCTGATGAGCAGAGAGAGAGAGAGAGAGAGAGAGTGGTGGGATATCACGTGGGGTAGATAAGCTGTTGAATTCAAACATATTTGAAATACTAACCATTCTTTTACCCTTGATTAAGTAGAAATAAATTAAACACTGCTTTTTGATATTTATATATATATTTCTTTTCATTATATGCATGTAATTTAGTTACATTTTTTTAGTCTAATAGAGGTTATTCATAGAAGTTTGTGTAGTAATTTTATTTAAGAGTCTAACCTTTGATAAGCATTTTAAATATACGATTTTGTATAAAACTAAAAATTAAGCTCAAAATATTAATTTGTTTTTCGATTTTGACAAGTTACGAAATAAAGGGTATGACACAGCCTATGACAATTTAACCTATGTTTGTTGGAAACTGAAATAAAAATATTGCATTACAAACTTGCTATGAACACCTCTACTGCATGTTGTATATGTATTTAATTACGAACTATAGACCAATGAATGATTTTTGTTTTTAATTTCGTATTTTTAAACTTAAAAACTTAATGTAGAGGTATGTATGCATGCAATATTTTATTACACGCATTACATTCTTGCGCTTAACCATATTTGAAAAAAAAACATGTTTAGAGATATTTATTTTAATAAAATCTTATATTTTAATTATTACTTTTCTTGACATGTATGTATATACTAATTTAGACCCTATTTATTATACACGTATTATAGTATGCCTACATACATATACTCGTATATATGTACGTGTGTATGCAAATATATGTATATATATTTTTTTTTTGCATAACTGATTGACGTACTTACACACAAGCTTTTGTATTTGGCATATATTATGCGTTATACGTTTATATATATTATTTATAATTACATTTATAATATATGAAAGTATATACTATGTGTTGTGCAAATTTCTTTTTATTATTTTTTTTTTTAAGTTAAATTATTAATTAATTTACAAAATTTACTTAATCTCGGTTCCACTATCATATATATGTATATTTCTTTAGCCAGGTAAATATGAAGAGAAATCAGTTAAAATTCTTCGAATTTAGCTAAAATTTTTTACTATTGTCCATTTCAAAAATTTATGAAACTGCCGAATTATCCGATTTAAAAGCAATTGGCGAAGAAATTCGAAATAAAAAAGTAAATACAAAAAAAAAAAAAAAAAAAAAAAAAAAAACACTTTATATTCAATTCATTAGGATATTTGTATACATCTCTATGTCTCTTGTCATGTCACTTTAACCAATGTAACCGTTACTTTGCTGCACAATATTTAAAAATAATTTAAATACACTGATTTTTTTTAATGATTTTGCGTACAAATAGAAAAGTATGAAATTTATATAGAAAAATGTTTTACTGAATTTAAATATACGGAGCAAAAGTTTTTTGTCAAAAAATGATATTTTTATTTTTTTTTTTATTTCTGGTACAAATAGAAAAGTCTGGAATATATAAGAAACTTTTACCGAATTTAAGTGGACTAAGCAAAAGGTTTTTGAAAAAAAATTAAAAAATTTTGTTTAGTATTTTGTTCTAAAAAAAACTTTTACTGAATTTAAATACAGCGAGGAAATGTTTATTTGGCCAAAAAATCATTTTTAATTTTTTTTTATGATAGAAAAGAATGAAATTTATAAGAAACTTTTTTAAAAATATCTGTTTCGGGAATAAAATAATAAATTTTTCCAAATTTTTTGTAGTTATCTTTTTTTTTATAAATTTTCAAATCGGTTTCGAAGTAATTTCATGCAAATTGTTTGCTAAAATGTATGTATATATTTGTTGTTTTGATTACTTTCGTAAAATTCGCGTGTGATAAAAAATTAATTGGATCGAAAATAAATAAAAATTAATTGTATCGAAGTTAAGATAATGCAAAATAATAAATACATATTGAAAACCTTCCAAAATCGAAATATAATATTAAATAGAAATCGAAAAATAAACAATTAGAGTTACATATTTTTAATTCTTTATCCGTATTTTGTATAAAACCAACTATTTTTGTGTTTTTTTTTTATTCTTAAAAAATTATAATTTATAGCACCACAATAAATGGATTCCTAGTAATTTGAATTTGTATGTATGTATGCACGTGTGTATGTGGAGTAAAGGAGGCGTCACAAAGCAAAATTTTATATTGTCTTAAAAGTGAGATCAATCTTATTTTAAGTAAGCTGTTTTTAGGCGGGCTATTTGCAAGCTAATCGCATTTTTAAACTAATTTTTTTATTCTCTTTTTGCAAATTCTCATCAATCTTTGATACGAAGTTTTTACATGCGGGCATTGTGTGTAACTGTGATCTCGGAAACTTAACTTGTAAAAATGTCGCATTGAAGTCAACCGGTGTATGTATGTATGTATGCATTTACATATATATATATATATATATATGTATTTGTTATACATTAAATGATTTGAGCCTATTGGGCTTTAAATATATAAGCCCTCCATTGAGATAAAGGCAAAATGTTTTGAATATATTGTACATATTTTCAATAGTAAAAAAAATAAAAATAAAAAATCCATAAGTACACTGTAACGTAATATGCATTACATTTTTTATATATGTATAATTTTTGAATGTGCTCCACTTAATTTAATCAACTTTCTTCTGCAGTTATGTATGTACATACTCATAAATTTGTAAGTATATGTATGCATGTATGTATGTATGTATCTTTGGATTAAACCATATAGTACTGAGTATATGGTTTTTAGCATTGTTCTTATTCATAACCTAGGAACTCAAATTCACTCTCAGATGACACCTCATCCGGTGATTCTTGTGTAGCAACTATCACAGCAGCTTTTATAGCATTCCTAATGCTGTCATAATTATTTACCAACGCCGTTGGCACTAAATTACTACCAAGTGGTAATTCAATTTTTGCCGATTTTACCGTTGACGCATCACTATGGCTTCGTGCACCATCGACCGTTTCGGCATCGGGAAATTTTAAACCTTTCGATAAACTCTCCTCGGAAGATGATGAGGAGATGGCAAGCGTTGAATCAGATTTAAAATGGGATTTTTGGAAATGCATTTTGGCACCACCACCACTAGTTGATGGTTCAACATTTTGCTTTTCAGCATCGATAAGTGGCATTAGATCGTCCTCATCATCGGTGGAATTCTCATTCAATTCCGGTATCGAATCGTTTATTAAAAGATCCGATGGTATATCATCACTCTTATCGTCTTCATCTTCGGTATCCTCGGTATTTTCTGTGGGTGCTGTGTGTAATGTGAAGTCTCTGCAAGCACGATCTAATAAAATAATATTTCGGGAATTTTTTTCTGGTAAAAATTCATCATCATAATCCGTCTCCGAACCAGCCGTCGATTCGTCATCATTCTCTCTGCTCGTGTCCAAATCGGAGTATGTCACATTACGATATCTTGGCCGAGCTGTATAAAAGATTCGATAGAGTAGTATTAAAAAATGCTTACATACATATATTTTCTTTAAGTTTACTCACAGAAATCCAATGAACATTGTTCTATATACCTAAGACCAAGTAGGTATATGATAATGAAGAGTATGGTTACTATTACCACATGACCAAAGAATATAAATGAGGATAAGGAGAAGATATAAAAGCACATCGTCAAATTTGTATGTTGTTTACGAAAGTCCTGAACTCGTTTTAGATATTCTTTGTACTTTTGTTGCAATTCAGGTGGTGGTACAATGCGAAAATTGCAACGTGTGTTGTAGATCCAGTAGAAGAAAACTGCCAAGAAGAAAATTCCGATAGGACGCAGATGTTGGCTGAAATGAATGTAAGAAAATATATTTAAATATTTATATACAGATATGTACATATGTATGTGTGTATGTGTGTATGTATGTATGCATATTTACTTCGAAAATTTATTAACCATAAGAAGAATAATTTTAATATTTTATTACAAATATGTAAGCATGTATATACGTGTATGTATGTATATGTGTTATGTGTACATTTCAATTAAAATATTATTATTTCAATATTTACGCGTAAATAAAATTTACAAAAATTGAATTGAAGCAAAATATGGGATTCTGTGACTAAAGGCGTGCTGTGGTAAGGTTGTATACCGTCTATAACGTGGACACTTAAAGAACAACAAAGCGACTGGAGTTTATGACTTGCCGGCTGAGCTATTTATACATGGCGGTGAAGAGCTAATAGAACAGAGAGCAGATGAGTAGCTTCTCTGCAAAATGTGTCCTCCGAAATAAGGTTCTATTGAACACATTATGTGGAAGACTAAATCCACCGTCAGCAAGCTGATTAGACCTTATCAGTGTGTTTTTAGACCTGGTAAGTCAACCCTTGCCCAGATATTTACCATGAGACAAATCTATCAAAAAAAAAAAAACGGTGAAAAAAGTACCGACACGCACCACCCCTCTGTCGTTTTGAAAGCAACCTTTGACCGCACAGTAAGGGTCTGCCTCTATGGCGCTTTGCCTGAATTTGGTATCCCCGCAAAACGTATACGGCTGTATAAACTGACGCTTAACAGCACCTGAAGCACCGTCAGATGCGGGAAGCACCACTCGGAGCCGTTCGATATCAAGCGAAGTTTCAGACAGGGCGATACCTTATGATTTCTTTAATTTATTGCTGGAAAAAATAGTAAGAAATAGAGAAGGTACAAACTTCTGTAAGAGCGTACAGCTACTGGCGTATACCGGTAATATTGACATTTTTGGCCTCAACAAACGCGCCGTTGGTGCTGCTTTCTCCAGACTCGATAAAGAAGCGTAGCAAAATGGAGGATAAGACCAAATATCTCATGTAATCAAATAATCGCATTTTCGACTCAGCTCCCACGTCACTGTTGAAAGTCGCCTATCTGGGAACCAGTATTAACACCAACAACAGTGTCAGCCTGGAAATCCAACTCAGAATTACTCTGCCAGAAGCACGATGTCGACACCTGAGAGTAGTTTTGCCCGATTACGTTCATATTAAATTTTCATGAAATTTAAAAGGTTTGGTCAAAGATATTGCAAGCCACGATTTGCTTGTTCCACCTCAAACATTTCTGTAATTGAAAGTGTAACCTAAGACCCGAACTTGAACTTACAACTTACAGTCCTACAAAATCTAACTCACATAACAACTGTAGCTATCTGACCATTCACAGCCGTGCACATAGGTCGATTGGTAGCTTGCAGAACAAGGGGTGGACTGCCATTATTCAAGCAATACTTTCTTCAGCGACGATGCACATTACTCCCTCGGGGAATAGGTATGTAAATAAGCAGAATCCTCAATAAATTGAAGATAGGCCATTACACCAAGAATAAACTCAGTACCTGGTGCGCTCTTTGGTCCGGTCGTTTGATTGGATATCGTGCGGTTTAATACCGGTGAAAATTGTTTGTGGGGCTACGCGAAAGACCGTGTTTATGGGGCTATAACTTTAACTCTTGAGCATTTGAAAGCCAATATTCGTTAAGGGGCACGCCTAGTGTGATATTTCATTTCATATTTTTTTCAAATTTCGATAGATTACACCTTTAAAAATAACATATTAAAATTTCAAATCGATATCTCAAATAGTTTTTGAGTTATAGCAATTTAAAGAGCAGCCGCTCGGCAGCTAGAGCGTCTGATTAGCGAGTGAAAACGATAATTTTATCTTTAAACGCGTTTTTCTCGAAACAGCATTTTCCGAATTTGCTGCAGCGATTACTCAAAAACAAATGATCCGATCACTATCGATTTTTTTACATGTTCTATTCATAGTTTTCCGTACAATGACCTATCGATTTTTGATCTGATCAAAAAATCGAATTTTGGCAGGCGTAAAACGACCAAAATTTTGGGTAAAATTCGACTATTTTTTTTTTTAAACGCCGCCATATTGTCAATTTTTGATTTTTTTATCGCAGGTCATTCTACTGACAATATTATCTAGTAGAGAATTTTTTTTTAGATTTCACCCACGGAGAAGGCCGTAATCACTGCAGCAGTGAAGGACCTTTTTATCGCGCCATTGGAGATCGACTATAATTTAAAAAATATTTAATTTTTTCTTCAAAAATTTCACTGTATTTTCTTGGAACATGTATAAATATATTCTTAACATTTTGAAATAATTGATAAAGTATTTTTTTTTAATAAAGATTCCCGAAAATCACCTTCTTTTTAGGACATAAGTTATGATTGAGATACTGCATAAAAAGTCCCCAAAAGTAATCAAAAATTACCTCAAACGGTCATTTCAATGATGTATTGTTTCACACACATACATATGTACAATATAATGCCAAAAAAAATATTTCAAATGCATTTTATTTACAGTTTTGAAAGCGCAAAATGGACAACCCTGTATTTTTCACCCCGCATATCATTTAATGCGATCGCCCCAAAAGAATATTAATTTATATATACATATGTATGTGAGGTGGGCGTGAAGTTGGTTCGATATTATTAAGCGTTCGTAATTATCAAGAAATGTGTGTACCAAAATACATATATGTATATGTGTATGTATGTATGTATGTTAGTGTCATATTTTTACCCCTCTCTTGAACACTGTGCATGTGTCCTTAGTGACTTTGAGGTATTTGACCTTGATACAATTACAACAAGCGAATTTCTTCCGGAGATATATATGTACATATATACATTACACACGCGTACTAATGTCTGTAGTATGTGTATATATTACTATACAGCTAATTTAGTTACATCGCAATATTATAAATAACGTATGTATTCCATATCGTAGAAATATCTCCATGCCAACAAACATTTTTTACATACATACATACATACACGAGTAGTCAGTATGTATGTTTGTACGTATGTATGTACATGTAGATAAGGTCTTCGAAATTATCATATCATTTGCACTTCATTAAAAAGAACAACCCTCTCTAAATACTTTCCTTAATCATATACCAATAATATTGTATGTACGAAACAGTAAATATGTATGTACATACATACCATACATATACATATGTATGTATACAAGCATTCATATGAATAACAACAACATGGAACCAAAATAAATGATCTAACACTGTATCAACGCGACAAACAACAACTGCAGTGTCAATAAGAAGAAGAAAAAAACACAAAAACAAACAAACAGTAGATAACAATAACAAAATTCTGCAAATAAATATAACGAATTGTCAGCTGATTTTAGAGACGAACGAGTGAATTAATTAATTTGAGGCACAATCACAGATTTATTTATGAATACATACATACAAATTAAACTAGTATTGTTACTATTGCAGTACACAAGTAGGTATATATATATATATACATATATAGAGTGTATGAATATTGTAAACAAATCAAGTTTAAACTACAATTATTCAGCCAAAAGAGAGCGGTGGCGGTGGTTAGCTGCTCACCGACACTTCGGTAAGCGCAACACTTTCTCACATTGCGAATGGCGCGTAGAGAAATTCTGCGTGAAATCGTGAAATGATGATAAAAATAGGGTAAGTGTGCTTAGGTAGGTATCTGTGTACATACTTGTATATGTATGTATGCATACATTTATGTGTATAACAATCAGGCGTGCTTATACAACGTGATATCAGCGATTTGTTTACAAACAGAAAATGCGTTCAATTTATTTGTTGTTGTTTTCAAATATAAACAAATATGTATATGATGTACAAGTGGGTATATACGAACAGTTATCAAGGTGGTTTTATTTGTTAACATACGTTCATATGGTGACTGTCACTTAACTTGACGCTTAACTTAACGTCAAGTCAAAGCCACGGTTAGCACATTTATAGGTACATACATACGAGTATGTATGTGTGTATTTACTTTTATGCGTATGAAAATATTTACTACATATTTACTAAAAGAGCTGAATATGTTTAATTAAGTGTCTTAATTTTTTACAAATAGTTTTTGTTGATTTTTTTTTTCAAACATTTAGAATTTTTACATATGCGTGGGGTTTTTTGACGTAAAAATAAATAATTAAATGTTGCCTAAATATCTATGAGTAGTTTTGTAAGTTGTTGTGCAAAGATGATACGATAAAGAAATACAAAAATAAAATATAAGTGAAAGTAAAGAATTAAACAAAAAAAAAAATGAAATAAAAAATTCAAATAAAAATACAAAATTAAAAACGTAAATAAGAAAATTTAATATAAAAAAATAAATAAAAGTCAAAATCAAAATGAAATAAATTAATCAATTAAAAATTAAAATAAATAATAAAACTTAAAAAAAAATATAAAATTAAAATGAAAATAAGAACTAAACAATATATTGTAAAAAAAAATTAAAAACAAACAGGAATTTAAAATATAAATAAAATAAAAATAAAACTAAAGAAATAAACAAAAAAATTTTAAAATTTAAATGAAAATACAAAATAAAAAAGTAAATAAAAAACTGAATGTAAAAAATAAATAAAAAGAGTCCAAGTTGACAAATAATATGAAACGAAAAATCAAAATTAAAAATAAAAATATTAATAAATAAAAGTATTGTATAAAAAAAAATAAATAAAAATATAAAAAATTAAAAAAAAAAATAATTAAGAAACAAATAAAAAAAAAATTAAAAAATTAATAAGTATATAAAATTCAGAAACAAAAACAAAACTAAGATATTAAAGTTATAAATAGGAATTGAAATAAAAAAATTAAATTATAAATGAATAAAAAATAAAAACCCGAAATAGAAATAATAATAAAAATAATAAATAAAATTATTATTTTAAATAGAAAATAATAATAAAATTTTAAATTTTAAATAAATGAAATTAACAACAAAATAT